GATCTTGGATTATATATGCAGGCTTCAGTATACATAATTTTCCCTGAAGACATGAAGATGATTTATTATTGGGATTAACATATAATGAATTATCCATATGAGATTCAAAACTATGGTTTTCTCTGCTGAATCACAGATCTAATTAAGACTAGCCATAGGTTTGGCTATGCCCCTAATAGTTACTTTCCTACGGTGAGATTTTGTTTTGTTTTTAACTGAAGAAGAGAGCATTTATTTCTGTGGGTTCTCATCTGTAGTTATGGAAAGGAGGGCATAGTCATGTAAAACCTTTGCACTTTAAAGGAAACAATTGTGTGTTGGGATGAAACAGGTGGTCTAAAAACAACTAGCTGATTTGACTGATCCCAGAAAACTAAGTTAGCAATTGATGGGAGACCACAGGAAATTCCCAAGTCTGTAGACTAGACAGGGAATTTAAAAAATCTCAGAAGAAGACAGTGACAAACTATTTTGCTACTTTCCCACAACTACATGGTTGTGTCAGGAAATCATCAGGAATCAAGCTAAGGTCTAGGTGCCTTTACTTTTGCAAGGGCAAGTTAAAATCTGTTTTCTGCTTGGTACATGAATTGGGGAAGGATCTCAGTTCATACTGCGAGGTGCAGGGGAACAAACTATAGGCCTCCCAGTTAGACATAAGTAACTAGGAAGAGACTAGAGAATTTTCATTTTTTGTTTGAGAAACTTATTATTATTATTATTATTATTATTATTATTATTATTATTATTGTTGTTGTTTGTTGTTGTATTTCACAAATGCTGATATGCTGATTGAAAGCTACTTGAGTAGGGGTCGGTTAGCATGACAATAAAATGAATAGTTGTTGGCTCAAAAGATACTGTAATGTCTTAAATAAAAGCAGGTTTCAGTTGATTGTGAGGATGTTATTTTATAAGTGCCCTATATTGTTGAACAAAAAGCAAATGCCTTCAGACATCAGGCTGAATGAGGTGAAATAAGGGAAAGGGGAATTGCTATACAAGTGTGACCATTTTCTGCCTATTTAAAAGCCCTCTGTATGTGGAACCTAGAACCCATTAAGAAAGTACTAGCTGGTGGCCTCTGTCTTGTTCCAACTCTCTGAGACGCCATCTGAGAGAGTCATCCTCCTTGCAAAAAAACCCGAGAATGCTGACTAATCCCTATGTCATTAATTTAATCACGGAGAAAATCTATCTATTGATAACAACAATGGCATATAATTGATCAGTCCAATCAATCCAACTTTTCTGCTAGCCAAGTTCATGTCTAGCTGAGTATAAAGTAACCCACAAGAAGGAACTGCAACAATATAAGCCATGGCTAGAGGTGGTCTCTATCTAAATTTTATTTCTTTAGATATGATTACAGCAATCTCATTAAGCCTAGAATAGGGATGACATTTTTTTCCAGTTTGCACAGAATGCAAAATGAAGGCAGGACATGCAATTGTGCTTTAGTGATTGTGTGTTCCATTCATGAGGCCCCACTATCCATCTTCACTCCACTTGAATTATATTTAGAAGAAACACAGAAATATACAACAGACAGAAATTAGCAACCCAGGCATAATTTCACAGCAGAAATCACAAACTGAAAAAATAATATATTAATTTTTTCAGTCTTGGTTCATTTTAAGTGCACTTCTGTGACCTTGACTCTTTTCCATTCAACATATTTCAGATTTTTAAAAACTCCTTTGCAAAGAAATAAAATAGTGTGCACACGTTATGATTTAAAGACAGTGGAAGTATTCATTTTAGCTTTAAAAAAATAACATCCATAAAGCTAAAGAACAGCCAAGACATTGTTTAAAAGCCAAGATTTTATTGCAAGCTGTTATTGAAATTCAGGGTGGTCTTCCTTCTCTGGCAAATATGGGACTTTTTAGCTGAAAACTTTACTAAACACTGCTTGGAATTTAAACACCAGAATATGCATAGTTTTATAATAAATTCTGGACTGTGATGACCTTTAAAATGCTTTGTAACTTAGTTACTTCTTTTGGTAGTAACTTCAATCATCCTATACTGGAGGGCCATTGTATACTACAGGCTTCAGAAAGTCTGGATCATGCTGCATAGCAATGGTTAGAGCAGGAGACTAGAACCAAAATTGCTAGAATCCGTATCCCTCACTGCCAATGCTGGTGCTCCTGCCAATTCTTTAATTGTAGTTCATCCTACCTGGAGATCATGAGAATTTGGAAGGCTAGGCTAGAATATTGGACTAGAACTAAGGAGAAATTGGTCCAAACTCTCCCCTTGGGGCACAAAACATTTTGGATTGAATTATTGCTTTTTATTTGTTTTCTCACTATTACTTAGCTATTTTGTGGGAAAGTCTAATATTAGCACCAGCTCCAAGTTTTCAGAGGTCCTCAGGCAAGTGGGCCCTTTCTTTTCCATGTATTTCTAGCACTTTGCATTGTCAACTAATGAAAGAGGAGAGAGAACTGAAGAACAAAAAAAAAATCTCAAAAAGACAAAGAGAATTGTGAACAAGGAGTGACAGTTATGATTCTTTCCAGCTTGTAGTGACTTATACTGCTTGTCCTCTCCATCTCAGCCATATGACCACCCAGAAAGAATGAGTGACAATAGGAAGTTGAGCAACAAGACAACTGTCCTCTCATTGTGGCATGGCTTTCAGCAGATCCACCAAAGCCAATCTAATAACATTAGGCCCATAGAGAAGGGGAGATTGAGGCCAAGAGGATGGAATTCGCCAATGGTGAATTGGAGGCTTCTCAATTTACATGATTAGAACAATGGGAGATAGACACAATGAACTAAGATGTAAACCATAGTTTCCAAGCCACCAAGTCAAAACCAAGCAAAACACATAGTGGCATTGAAAAATAGATACATCGGGTCCCTGTGGACGCAAATTTTGAAATATGTCAGTTTGAAAGGTTTCTTCTTAACATAGCTTCCATCCAGTTCCTTCCCATGCTTTCTGATCAGTTCTGATCAGCAGGTAATGCTCTACAAAGTCAGCAATCTGGATGTCAATTAAAAACTAAGTTCCACTGAATTAGTTGTGGGTAATTTCCAGAGAATATCATACAGCAATAAAGACTCTTCATCATAGCTTCTAGTCCCTAGGTCCTGAATAACTATTTTAAATTCTGGAAGGAGGTGGTAAAATAAACTGGTGAGATTCCAGTGGCATATTTATAGCCTCTTTCCAACATTGTTTGCCCTGGGAAGCAGCTTTCTTTTCCAGATGTGGACTTTCAGAGCAGAGCAACCTAGGCACTTCCAAACATATTCAAACAACTACTACAGTGACTTGTTTGTATTTATCCCATGCTTTACCTGCATTACATATTAATTTAAGACGATAGCATATTTTAAGATATTGGAGTGTGGTGAAGAGAATAGCATAAGGAGGAAAAGTCTATCAAAATAGACATGCTTTCTACTTCTTCAAAATGGGTTTCTTCCAATATCATCCCTGTCTGATCATAACCAGCTGTAATCTGTGTCTGTTCCTGGAGCTGTCCTGCCCTCTGCTGGAAAAATCCAAAAAATGATTTAAAAAAAACAATAATAGAAATCCTGTTAAAACAAATGTGTGTGTGTGTATGTGTGTGTGTGTAATAAAGGTGTTCTTAGATTTTTTTATTATATCACAACTAGCTTTCAATTAGCAATGAGTTCACTAATATCCATCATTAAACATCCACTTTTTCTTACAAGTTTCTTATCCATTGGATTCAAACTCAACTCACTTTTAGCCAGCTTCACTTTTAAAATTGTATTTTGTTTATATACTACATTAAAAAAACACATTAATTGCATATATATATTAATCCTATTGTAAACTGCTTAGCATGTTCAGAGTTAGGCACTTATACATTCATAAATATATCATTTAAAATATATTTTAATGTCTTGGTCTCTGGCTGCTATGTAGAAATTCCATTTACAGTGCTTTTACACAATGCAATACATTCTTTTTGGCACAAAGGAAGCCTGGAACTGGTATGTAGCACTACTCTGTGTACAGTAATCAGTTCACCAATTCCTGAATTAAATCTTCCCTCTGGAATACTAATACAAGCTATGGAGCCTATTGGGTCACTTATTATTTGTTCATTTATATAAAGAAGCACCGATTAAGAGCTGGTGCTCAACAATATACATATAAAATAACCAATAAAGAAGCATTTCCATTATGGTTGAGTTCAGGTATTTCATTAATAGTTGTCTGAATTTGGGTTCAGATATTGTGTGAATTTAACTATTATCATCTGTCAAATCATATTTTATTCTTTAGCAATTGTTAAACACAGCCAACCATGGGACTACCAACAAAACATGGCTAAACAAATAATTGTCTAAGAACCAGTTCTATTATAATTTCAAAATAGGTGTGTGATAAATCACTAGAAAGTTGAATTGTTAGAGTTCTGGTATTACTTCTTCACCTAAAGCACAGCTAATTGATGGGTTTCTAGACTGTTCTCTTCACATTCTACCTGAGCCTTCCTGAAGGCATTTGACTAACTTTGGAAGCAAGATGTTGGGCTAGAATCTAAAACTAGTGTACAAATAAATTCCATTGTTAGTCTGATCCTTCAAGAACATTTTCAAAACTTCGTAACTCTCATTTCTGTTTCTTATTGGGTATCAACCTCATGAAAACCCAAGAGATTGAGGCAGACATATCGTTTGTATCCATTTCTACCTATCATTTTTCTAGCTACTTCTCTAATTCTGTTTCTCAAAAGCAGAACATCAAAGGTTTAATTGTTCCCAGAAAGGGGAACCAGTAATGGTTCCTTCTCGGGAAGAAGAAAAGATTCTTCCTTTGTCAGAAAAATCAAAGTGGCCCTTGAAATAAGCAGCAGTAAAATTGAATTATTAGTTTTCCATTACAGAAGACATTTCAAACCAAATATTTCAAATATATTTCCAAATTATAGTATCTCCCAGAAGTTAGAATTAAATTTTTCATTGCATTGCTGAAAGCACAACTGGAATATAGACAAATTCATCCCTGCCTTAGGAAATCTTTCCCCCACCAATATACACAATTATTAAAATATTTGGGGAGATGATTCCTAAAATACACTATAGCTTCTTTGCAGGAAGTCCTCAACTTACAGGTTGAAGGTTTAAAATATCAGATAATGAAAAATAAATATCATAGCAATAAAAACAGCTGCGCTGGGGGCCAAGTCAACTCCAAATCAATATTTATTTCAAGGAGGCTTTCCTGGAATTTCTTTGCAAGCACAACAGAACAAACTACATTTGTTTCGCTGTGGTATCTGCCCTACCTACCATTATATTTCCTAAAATCTTATGAAAAACAGAAGATGTAACACAAGCATTTGGGAGAAAGCAGCTAATTCTTTCTTTTAATGTTAGCAGGAATGAGTGAATAAATGAAAGAAGAAAAAACAATACAAACCATTGAAAAATTACAATCACTTTTTAGTAACCTCTTAGTAAGAGATCCACAGTCAATATAAAAGCAACTGGTAATCAAAGGGATCTGACAATGTCTTTTGGAACCCTTGTCTAAATTCCCAAAGCTACTTTTTGAATATATGATTCAAATAACCTTATACTCTTAAGTAAATCAATAATGTATTGTAATATCGGCTTAGGAACACTTGAGTGAACAATAGAAAAGGTTTTTAGTTAAAAAAGCTATCAAAAATACCGGAAGCAAAACAACTAGACTGTTGTTCAAAGTGTTAACAACTATACTGTTATTCAAACATGCATTCTTGGGCGGTATTGCCCTATATCTACTAATTAATGCAGCACTAAATGGCATCAAAACTGTCCATAAAGTTGGATTCTTCATCCATTTCATTTCATTTCAGCACTCATCTTGATTCATAGTTGCAGCTCTTTTAGGCTTTCACGTTTTTCAGGTGATGTGATCTTTCTGTGTGATTCACTTGGCAATGAGTGATCTTTGCAGATAACCGATTAAGAGGAAAAAATGGCATATGCATAATAAATAGTACAGTACTTTCAGAATGCTACAATAAAGTCTATGACAAGAAGAAGAAAGGAGGAGAATCATCCTCAGGGATGAAGTGATTAAGCAAATGCTCATTGTACTAACACAATATGCAGGAAGCTGCATATTGGAAAGAGCATTACAGTTCTTATTTCTTGTATTACTAAGATAAGAATCTCTATTTCAGAAAAATATGGCAAATAATAGTTCACTGTCACCTTGATATACAATTAATCAGGTAGAAATCAAGTACAGATCCAATACAGGTAATTCTCGTCTTACGAGAACAACTGAGACCAAAATTTCCACTGCTAAACAAGAAAGTGATTGACACCATTTTATGATCTTTCCTGTTACAGTTGTTACATGAATCATTGGTGGTATTGGTAACATAGTTGTTAAGTGAATGTGGCTTCTCCACTGACTTGCTTGTCAGAAGGTTTCAGAAGGTGATCAGTGACCAGATATGAGTCAGTGGCCAAGTATCTGAATTTTGATCATGTATCCATGAGGATGCTCCAATGGTCATAAGTCTGAAAAATGGTCGTAAGTCACTTTTTTCAGTGCCATTGTGACTTTGAACAGTCACTGCGTTGTTGTAAATTGAGAAATTATTGTACAAATGAGCAAACCCACTGAAATAAGCCGCAGAACCTCACAGGAAAGATGCAAGGAGAAAGAACATTTCTTGGACTGATCCCTTTAAAGCAAATAACATTCTGAATGTTTGTCAGTCCCAACCTTCTGTGCATAAGAAAGCAATTTTTCAGGAAGAAGAAGAGTAATGCTTTCTAAAAAGGCTTACTTGGAACATATAAATAGAGAGAAATACCACATGCCATTTCCTTGCAACCTGAAGTAATGATTTAAAACAGAAGCTTGCTTCAAAGTTGGTAATTGATTTCCAGATTTGGAGGCTAACAGGAAACTAAAATTAAGTAGAAGTTTCTTGATTTACCGAGATATGCCATTAAGGAAAATACGGAGGCGTTGTATGCCCAAGCAAAAAAAAAATTACATATATTAGCAACATACCCACATCTGCTCCAAGCTCATAAAATGATGGGCTGACTCTCCCTTAGGACTTGTCTCCCAAAAGTCTGTTCTCCAGATTGTTCTCTCTGGTCAGGTTCCTATTTTGGAAAGAAATCAGACTAGTAGAAAGGGGATTAATGGCTGGTATGCTATGTGGGCATGATTTTAAGCTAGTTGTTTAGGGCTGCACTTAGGAAATTCTCAAATTCAGCAGGGTTGATTTACCACATTTTGACATAACCTAAGACATTTTACAGTTAAAAAAGGTCTTCCTTTTATATGACAATTAAGTCCTAAAATTATTTACTTCACTGTAATTTGAACAGAGGCACTAACATAGAGTCAACACTGGATTACTTCATCTCTTCAAACTTGAAAATTTGAAAACACCTTCTTTTTTTAATAGTAAGGCTTGTGATAAGATCTGCCAATCCAAAACATTTAGTCTGATCCTGTCAAAAAATATCAGCTCTTTCCCACATTATAAGAATTTTTAAACTATAAGAATTGGATACAGCAATCCAATAAAGCAGGGAAACAGTTCATCATCCTTACATCTGACCTATGGTTAGATAAGGGTATATGAAAATATCTTGTGAATATAGGTGGAGGAACGAAGCCCAAAGGATTAGAAAGAAAGAGCAAATGCCTGCATTTCTTCATTGTTGAAATGGGTGGTTCCCTTGAATATTAGCTTGAAAATGATGCTTTGCATTATGACTTTGACCCTTTTTGGTAACAGCTAAACAGGGATTTTCTCGCTTTCTATTTTTATCCATATTCAGTTCTCTTATGTGTATTTGTGTGTTTTGGTATGAGTGGTTTCTGCATTATACGTATGATTTCTGCTTGGGATATGCAGATAATAGTTCAATTTAGGTTTTGTACAAGTATTCCGTTTTGATGAGGGGTAATTATTTTTCCTTCTCTCTGCTATCTTGGTTCTGCTACTTCAGAACCTGGATATGGGAAATACAGAAAGATACATACAAACACACACATGTATACAAGTGTATTATATATGCCAATTTGTTAAGGGTGATCCTCCAAATTAACATGATGGAGAAGCTATGCATCATAGACAACTTTTGTTTTGTATTGTTTTTATATACTGTTCCTCCTTGGAAGTGGGTGGTTAATATCACAAACCCTTAGAAGCATGGCCCTGGAACAGTTTGTATAAAAGTTCATTGCATTAATTTTTAAATGGCACAGAACTTTTAAAAGGCTTGGTAATAGGTCTGAGTGTCTTAATACTATCTTATACAGTATTAAAAGTTCCAAGTTTCATAATTAATATTTTAAAGCCTTGAAACATTTCAAGACATATCTAATCCAAATATATATTCTTTCACATCCATAAATACACTTGAGCTGAATCACCTAGGGTTGCTACTAGAATCTATTTTTTTAATATAAATTTAGGCTTGGCAGAAGAATCATGAAAGTCTCTAAATCACTTCATGATTTGGTAAAGTGAAAATCAACGCAATGAGAATCTGATACATGGTAAGATAATGTCCTACAAATTGCAGCAGGTTTTCACTGCCTTCAAATTTCATTGTATTAATAGCCCTAATCAATTTGATAGGAAATATCAAATTCTAAGAAGACAATCAGCCTATGCTGAAGATGTCAAACTGAAAATCGGTTTCATGTTCAGAGCAATATTTCCAAAATTACTATATTTTGATGAGGTCAAGCTGGTTCTTGCTATCAGATCATATGGCTCAGGTCTCTCAATCTATGGCCTGTTTTGCCAAGAAAAAATTAAAATCACAAACTAACCACCTGATGATTGTCGCTTCTGACTCTAAAGCAGACTCCCTCACTTAGCATAGTGAACATAGTGGAAATTAACTTGACTGTTTGCATTTCTAGAGACTTGTGCTGGCGCTGTGGTTAGAATGCAGCATTGCAAGCTAATTCTGCCCACTGCCAGCAGCTCGATCCTGATCAGCTCAAGGTTGACTCAGCTTTCCATCCTTCTGAGGTTGGTAAAATGAAGATCCAGATTGTTGGGGGCAATTTAAACCACTTAAACCCTGTAGAGCAGGGGTCCCCAACCCCCAATCCATGGACCGGTACTGGGCTGCAGCATGCCAGCAACCGGGCTGCACAAACAAGCAAAGCCCCATCCACGGGATGTAGGCAGCACACAAAACCACTCCCCCTCCAGTCTGCGGAAAAACCTTTCTCCACAGAACCGGTCCCTGGTGCCCAAAAGGTTGGGGACCTCTGGTATAGAGCACTATGAAGCGGCATAGAAGTCTAAGTGCTATGGCTATCTTGCTCTGCCTAAACTTCATGGAGTAACCTAGGACTGCTAGTTAACTTGAAAACCTTTTAAAGTTTCAAATGATAAAATGTCTTTCCTAAGCATGATGATAAATGTTAGAAACTGGAAATACTGAAAAACAATGGTTGAAAAAATACCTTTAGGTGCTGTTTTTGTCTGGCTGGAAATCTTGGCTGCTGCAGCAGGTAGGCCAACATAAACACCTCCATAATCTCTTAATGAAAAAGACATGAAAGTCATGACTGGATGCCATAGTAAAAGTATATCCTTACGCACAGCAAAATATTTAATCTTTTTTGGACTGTGAGTTACATTATTTAGTATAACTGCTCTCTCAAAAGTGAAATTTGGGCAGGATAAAATTATTCTGCTCATTACTCATCCTACACTTAAGTATTACTCATTTTGTTACATTGAAAATTACAATCCAGTGATAACCTTTGAAGGGGCACTTGGGATATACTTAAAGCTTGTGAGTGATATTTAAGCAAGAGGCTGCAGGTGTGTGTCTGATTAAGACTTCTAATTAGTCAAAACACTTCACTTGCTCAATGCAATCGTGCAGCAACTGTGAGGCTGGAATGTAGGACACATTTTCCTGTTTTCCCCACAAAAAGTGGCTAAAATGAGTGGAGTAACTCCACACACTCACTCTCATCCATATACATCAATGGGGAATACATTCATGTGTTCAGATTTACATACCTTCTCATATGAATATATTACAAAGAAACATACAAATACACCCAGGTTAAAATTAGACCACACTTGAAGTCAGTTGCATAGAAGCAAAGTGGAGGGGAATTGTGACTCTCCCCCCAAAAGACTCCCATCCAACAATTTACTTAGGAAAAAAAGTCTGTCAATGGCTAGCAGAAATAGTTTTCAACATTAATAGCTGGGTAAAACAGGATGCTTGGAACACCTGGAAAACTGTCTAGAATGGGAGTCTTCATACTTGGCCCTTTTATGATTTATGGACTTCAACTCCCAGAATTCCTCAGCCAGCATGCCTCTTCCAACACTATGGCTAACATATTGAACAAAGATGCAGACCAATCTGATGTTTCTCCACAGATGCTAAATCAGTATTATTATCTCTCCTAGCAGTTTCCTGCCATGTTCACAATACAAAATTGTTGGAGACTTCTGCATCTTTGTTCAATATGTTAGCCATAGTGCTGGAAGAGCTGCATTCACAGCTATCCAGAAGAGGACGTTTGGGGAGAAATGAATTCTCCCCAACCAGAATTGCAAAATGCAGTCACATGACCACATGCTACAAAAGGCCTAAATGCGGCCCATTGTTAAGTACCTAGTTCGATCACATGATTACAGAGGAAAGACAGCTGTTAGAACTTTAAATCCAGGTTGTAAATTGGTAGGCCCATCGTAACTAAACAATAAGCAACCGGTTGTAAGTGTTTATTGGTTTAGAAGAAAAGTTAAAATACTTCATAAAAAACAGATCTCTAAATCTGTCGTGGTTACAATCCCTATACTGTAATATAATACTTTCTGTCTCAGTAAATTTAATTGGACAACCTGGCATACCTTTCCCAATTTAGTTCTCTCTTTACATCAGTCCGTGCCATTTTATTCCTTTTTAAATGACATGGGTTGAAAGGCGTTTGACTCAGTATTCCAGCAAGCAATAATTAATGGATTGGTCAACCAAGGTGTAGACACTGCTTACATAAACTTACTACAATCAATATATGAAAAAACAATGGTGACAATTTGCCTTAATGATCTTAAAGTGAACATCAACATAGAACGAGGTGTATGACAAGGCTATTACAATATCACCTATTCTTTTTTCAGCCTGCCTTGAAGAAGCATTTCACAAACTAGACTGGGAAAAGATGGAATAAAAATCAATGGTGCCTATTTAAATCACTTAAGATTTGCAGATGATGTTGTTCTCTTCTCACAAGACCCAGAAGAGCTACAAAGACACATGCAAAAGTTGTACAAAGCAGGAGAACTATTCGGCTTAAAAATAAACCTGAAAAAGAGCCAGACTGTTTAATAAGTTCACCAAAGAATTTTTTTTTATATCTGGAGAAGAACTAGATAGACATAGTAGACCAGTACATATACCTTGCCCAATGGATCTCAATGGTAGGTGATACAATAAAGGAAATTGAATGGTGTGAAATGTGGTTGGCAGGCATTTGGCAAGCTAAGCATAATTTTTTAAGAACTAGGCCTGAAGAGAAAAGTTTTCGATCAGTGTGTGCTACCTGCTCTAACATGTCAGTGAAACATGGACACTAACCTCACAATTGATACAAAAGCTAAGAACGGCACAAAGAGGCATGGAAAGATACATGCTAGGCATTACAAGACAAGATAGAAAGATTAGAGAACGTGGATTAGAGAACAAACAAAAGTATACAAAGCCATCAAGAGAGTAAAAGAACTGAAATGGAAATGGGCTGGTCACAGAGCAAGGAGAACTCATGGCAGGTGGACCAAGGAAGTCATAGAATGGATCCCACTTGATAAAAAGGCTCCATGAAAGAGACCTAAAACAAGATGGATCAACATCAGCAAGTATTGTGGGCCCAATTGGCAAAAGAAAGCTCAGGACCGTATTGGCTGGAAACATGTGGAAGAGGCCTTCATCCTGCAGGGGGTAGACCATGGCTAAAGATGATGATGATGAAATGACATGGGTATCTGGCTAGGCCAGATGATATAAATTTTAAACCACGCTTTTATGATAAGGTTACTAGATCTGGGTTGCAAAAAAAGTGGTCATGTGTATTTTTTTCAGTCCCTATCCGGTACCTTTTTATCTGATTCAACCTAAATATATGAAACAAGCATTTAACTATATTTGGAAGCCAATATCTGCAATGCTACTGACTTAGATAATCTGGGCACATGCATGGAGCATTCCTGTGATCAGCTAAATATCATTATGAAGCTATAATACTGCAACTATTTCCCAGGGTTAGACTACAAGATTCTTAGTTAAAATCTGAGAAGCTCTTATTGGACAAATGAATATAAAGCTGTTGGGCTGGGGTTTATAAACCACATTTTAAATAGTTCTCTTTACGTCTTTCTCATGACATAGCAGCCTACTTTTGATCAGTGCAATTTCAGTCCAGTTCATTGTCAACACACCTCCTTTTGTCATCTTCTGATACCGATTCATTTGTTCTGCAATTAACAGAAAGAAACAAAGGAGAATGCTTATTTTATTTAATCCATTTATAGACTATAATCAATAATGTAAAACAAAGATATACAGTGCATCTGATACTGAAAATCATCTGAACATTTAACAATAACCATTTAAAGTTAGAGCATAGCAAATTAAAAATAATTATAATATTAAAATAGTTTACGATTTAAGTTTTGAATTTAAAATTTAGTACATTTTAATAATTTAAAAGCAGTGCTTAAAAGCCCAGTCCTATTATCTAGGTTTTCCTTCAGGAAAATGCACATAATCTCTGTCATTTGAAACAGAGATATGGATCCTATAGAGCTATCTGAAAACCTCCCTTCACTGGAAGATCAAGCATCTGGTCACTACTTACATGTCAGGAGGGCTCAAACATTTATCTCTTATATTTTAGGAAAGTTCTTTCTTGCTTTAACAGAAAGCTTCTTTCTTTTTCTGAACACCATCCCAGCAAAGAGCTTTCTTCTTTAACTCATAACTGCTGCTTGGTACAGGTAGTCCTCAACTTACAACAGTTTGCTTCGTGACAATTTGAAGTTACAACAGCACTGGGAAAAGTGATTATGACCATTTTTCACACTTATGACCATAGCACTGACCTTCAACCAACCCACGCAACCCCCCCAACTAGCATTTCACCTCCCAATGACTCTCATCTGATGTGACCTCCCCATCACAAGACCCATCAGAACAGCTTCACCTGACATGACAAACACCTGACCCATCACAAGACCCATCACAACACCTTCACCTGATGTGACACACACCTGACCCATCATAAGATCCATCATAACACCTTCACCTGACGTGACCCACATCACAAGACCTATTGACCACACGAAGCCCTTATAAACAGAAGAACAACAACACTTGACATTCCCTAAATTCTGCTGAAGATGTTATCCTGGTAATGAAACATTCAGAAACAAACCCACCAGGTCAGAGAACAAACCTCCACCCTCATCTTACACCTGAGCTACAGATATTCGCCACTGTCGCAAACTTATGACCAATGCAGCATCCTCATGGTCATGTGATTTACATTCAGATGGTTGACAACTGTCTCATATTTATGTGACATTATGGTTGCAATGTCCTGGGGTCATATAATCACCTTTTGCAACCTTCTGACAAGCAAAGTCAATGGGGAAGATTCACTTAACAACTGTGTTACTAATTTAGCCACTGCAGTGATTCTCTTAACAAATGTGGCAAGGAAAGTCATAAAATGGGGCAAAACGCACTTAAGAATTTTTTCACTTGGCAACATAAATTTTGGGCTCGGTTATGGTCATAAGTTGAGGACTACCTGCATAGCAGTCACTGTAGTTTGCTTTAGTGGCTCTCAGCTTTCGGTAGAGAAAGACAAATTAGCAATAAGTTTTCAAGCCTGATTGAGTAAAAATTGCAGTATCTGGAAGCCCTAACTGTTCTGCCTAATTAATACCGCTCTTCTCTGTCAATGAGCAGTCAAAAACCTGCTCTTCTCAAGTAGGTTCAGGACAGCAACAGTACATGCTTGAAGACTCAGTGTTGATCAGTTCAGACTCCCAAAAATAGCACAGAGGGTATCCCTTGTCTATTCCACTAACTCCTATGGCTTCCTATAATACCTCTCATCTCCTCTTCGGTCTATTGTCTCGTTTCATCCTTCCATTACATAGCACTTTACCATTACTGCATTTAGATCAGTGGTTCTCAACCTGTGGGTCGGGACCCCATTTGGGGTCGAACGACCATTTCACGGGGATCGCCAAACAACGCAGTCCACCATTTTTTTCCCCCTTTTCCTTAGCTGTGCTACTCCCTTTTATTCTATTGGCTTTTGAAAGCCAATAGAATAGACTCTCTTGAACAGAGTCTAATTCTATTGGCTTTCAAAAGCCAATAGGAATTGTCCAGGCCGTCTCTGCCCTGCTGAGCCCGCCAAAAGTCCCATTCTGCAAATGGTGCTGCACCAACTGAGTAGTCCTCGACTTACGACCGGTTGGGGGTCGCGGCATTAAAAAGGTTGAGAACCACTGATTTAGAACATAGAGATCATCAAACAGCACAATTTTCCACACTCTGGATTCTGCTCCTTGCCAACTTGCCAAGGCACCTTCCTCGGTTCACCTCACAGAAAGCCCTGGCCAATAGAAAGAGCTGGAATGAGCATCTCCTTTTATCAAGGTCAAGAAGAGGGAAATTCCACAAAAAACAGAGGCAGTTGGAATATATAATTTCATCTTAGAAACCTTAAAATATGTCAGGACCTTGATATTATTCTAACAGTGTTTCTCAACCTCAGCAATATGTCTGGATTTCAACTCCCAGAATTCTCCAGCCATCACGTTGCCTGGAGAATTCTGGAAGTTGATATCTACACATTTTAAAGTTGCCAAGTTTGAAAAACACTCTTCTAGCAGGCTCCCAAGCACAAAATAGTAAACGTAAGCAATAGAAAGAATTAATAATGAAAGAGAGTCTGAAATTTCACAGTTCCTACAAATAAGGATTAGGAGAAAGCTTGTTTATTTTGGAGAAAACAGCTCCATGATACCATGGAGCAATTAAAGAAAAGAAAAAAGAAAACATTGTATATTACTTAAATACATCACATGTGACAATTTTAGACAAAATTAATGCTGCAAAAAAATTGGGAGTACCGTCAAAAGGTCTAGATTGTTTATTACTCTGTCTGGTAAAGGGAAATAAACTAAAACTGGGGAAAAATTAAGACTTTGATAGACGAAAAAAATCATTGAAAAAAACCACTTTACAAAAACATGATAATAATCATACCTTGACTATAGCATATATTAAGTAAACTATATATTTAAAGAAACCATGAAAAGAGTTCTTTTTATAAATAGTCTGATTCAAAGCACTTAGCAAATTAGTAGAATCATATATCTTAAAATACAGAGTTTTCTATATTTCTTGGCATCGTTTTAGTGGTCATCTGGATTTTTGCATCCCAGATTTAAAACTCCTATAATGTGGTTTATTTGATTTATGAGGTTGTCAACTTTTTTTAAGAGGCAAGGAGTTTTAACTTGTAATAAATAACAAGCTGCAAATACCACCCCATATTCACTGACAGTCAGCCAACAGCCAACTGGCATCAGAATTCACCAGGGAAAGTTGAGTTGTATCAAACAATATAGGTACAGAGAAAGAGAAGGAGAGAGAGAAAGAGAGAGAGAGAGAGAGAGAGAGAGAGAGAGAAGGAGGCCTAAAATATATTTTTTTTTTGCTGGATATATGAGATTTATGATAGTTTTTTATTAAAAAAAGATGGAAGTCCGGGGGAATGGAGCAAGCAGATGTGTACTGAGAAAAAGAAAAAAAGCTGAATTATTTCCAGCCTCTGGTTAAAATGGAATTTCCAAGAAACAACTTGAACAGAGGTGGTATTTATTTTAAGGGTCCTACATTATATAATACCTTCTGGATATTATTTTTTTTTATTTTCTGATCTATTATCTCTGCCCAATTAATTTTTTCTGTTTTGACTTCCATCTCAAGTTATGTCCAATGTCATAACAGACTAGCGCCATCCTGTGGTCTACTGAAACACTGACTTGTATTTTATTTTTGCAACTCTTGTTTTAAAATGTCCCAAAATAGAGAAAGTCTTATCATTTTTTTGTAATTGTAACCAACACTTTTTGGATTTTAATATGCAAAGTTAAAAATAATTTATTTCTTTACCTATTTATTTAATTTAAAAAATCTATATACTCTAATCCATGGAACTCTGGGCAGCAAAGTTTTGTTTGACCTTGTTTGTTGCAATGTGAGGCTACAAATGAGTTTGGGTCTCTTCGTCTGACCACTACTTGTGTTCTTGCAATCTGGTGGTTAGCTTCCCCCACGTTTGTCTTACATAGTCCTGCATGGATTCCCCCTGTGACGATGTAAGACAAACTGGGAGGAAGCTAAGCACCAGATTGGAAGAACACAAGGGGGTGATCAGCCTCACATTGCAATGAACAAGGACACACATTTAATTTCATAGCAACTAAGATTGTTGGCCATGAAAGTACAAAGATAGCCAGGGAAATGATTGAAGCCTGGAAAACAGGCCCCTTGTCAGTTAAGAGGAGTGCTGATTTACCACCAGCTTGTTAAGTACTTAGGAGCCGAGGGCTTGGCAGCACAAGGAAACAACAGCCAATCGCCAGCCACCAACACACCAATCAGCGAATGGGAAGGCACCACATAAACACTACTCACAAAACAGCCCAAAACACATATTCCAATAGAAAGAAATTCCCTGAAGATGGGCTCCAGCATCAGTCCGAAAGCTTGGAAGAGTAAATCTCTCGTCCGGATGATTGATCCAAATTCGATCTCACATCATTACCCCGGGACACGTATATTTGCCTTCATTCATGAGTTTTTATATTTTATCTTTTCTTCACTCCATATAAAGTTTGATTTTGTTTAATTCTGCTGAAATTATTCTGTCTCTCAAGGAGGAAGAGAAGGGCCAGACCTCTAGTAACCTGATTCTAAATCATACATCTAGAATTTATAGCATATAAACATTTTCCCATGTTTGTCTTTTCAATAAACACAGCAGTACAAATTATGGGAGTCATCTCTCATTCTCAAACCAGGGTTAAGGGGAGGATATCACATGATGCACCTTGTTGAAGTTAGGTAGGGGTAGTAGTACCTACCAACCAGTTATACTGAGACATTCTCTGGGACTAGACTGCAAAAACTCAGAGGGTTTCAGGAGAAGGAAGTTACACTTCCACCCTATAAGCTCAGATACATAAAGCCTTTAACAACAGCAGGATAGGATTCATCAGTTACATCTTTTCTTTCACTACTTTTTTTCCTGAGAAATCCTTACCTACTGAACTGTCACTGGTTGAGCAGCTCTGATTAGCTTCTGGCTACAAAATGGTCACAAATTCTTGGATACAATATTTGAGCACTTTGCGGTTTCACTCGGATTCACATAGATGTTCCGAGAATTATGTTTCTAAGGCACTTATGAGGACCATTATAATTGGATTCACAAGCACTGTAATTTCATTGCTGCCTAATTGTCCTCAACTAAACATAACCCATTGCTTCATCATCATCCAATTATTGTAATACCTGTTCTACCAATAAGAGAAAGCATGCAATTATTATTATTATTTCATTATGAGACTGGTTTGCTAAATAAGCCACAATGATTGAGTTAACACAATATATTAAACTGTGACTTATTGTATATACCACAAAGCCTGGGTTCATGAGTCATACTAAGCCAAAACCAAGCAAATCACATTACGCTTAGCATGAGCAGATAAAAGCTAGGTTCCTAAAACAGCTTAAGCTAGGGGTGTCCAAACTTGGCAACTTTTTTTTTTGTAAAAAAAAAAAATTATTTTCAATTTTACATCATAAAAATACTTCAGATAAAGAGTAAAATAAATTTATACACATAACTTTCGGTATTGCTCACCCATTTCCCCCTTACCTTGGCAACTTTTAAGACTTGTGGATTTCAAAAATTGCCCAACCAATATGGGGGAATTCTGAGAGTTGAAGTCCACAGGTCTTAAAGTTGCCAAGGTTGGACACCTCTGATCTAAGCTATCGATAACAACCCATATTTGAAGTTAGTGACATACCAAGTTGTACGAACATAGCAACCGCAGTTTGTTTTTGGTGCCTTCAAATCAGTTTTTGATTCTGGTGATTGCATGGACTGGCAGTTTTCTTGACAGGTTTTTTTAGAAGTGGTTTACCATTGCTTCCTTCATAGGGCTGTGTGTGACTGGCCAAGGTCACCCAACTAGCTTTGTGCCTAAGGGTGCACTAGAACTCATAGTTTGCAGTTTTTAGCCTGATATTTAACCACTATACCAAACAGGCTTTTTGTTCAAAAAATGTGGCTAAACAAAATAGAGCTTAGTGTGATCCAATTGACAATCTACTCAAACTACTAAGAAGCTATCATGACCTTGTTATGTATTCTGTAATACCTGGAAACATAACACAAAATAGAAAAATGTATCAAAATATATACTTACATTTCTTTTGATGTTGCTGTAGTACCTGGAATGAAAAAAATGTGAACATATGTTTGTGAATCTTTTCATAAGTTACCTTTTCCCCTCCATTTATTTAGCCAACAGTATTTACAGGAAACATAAAATGACCCCTTTCAAGAACTGTGACTTTCAATGCTCTGCAAATATCACCCATGTTTCCCATCTTCAGTTTCTTTAGTTACATCAGTTTCAAGATAATTCAAACAGGAGACCCGGTGAATACATCTAGATCCACAATTCAAAGCTTTTCTCACCTTGCTACTTATTTGACCACAATTTGATTCATGCAAATCATTTAGGCAAATCATTACCTACAAAAGCAAAATGCACAACACAATTAGGACATCAGGTAAAAACAATCAGTATGGTAAAAACAAACACATTGAGGCACCCATCATCTTGATTTTGTTCATAAATCAGACTGATGGCCCTTAAAGGGATACCTCACAATCTCAGCCTGAAACAGCCAATAGCGGAGAAATTTTCTGCATTAAGGGCTGCATCTGCACAAAATCTCTTTTAGTACTTCCAGCAGCTGCCTGAAAGTGTTAGATGAGGCTTTTGTCCATGCCCAGGATAAAGTGCAAAAGCCTTTTCTGGTTACTAAAAGTGCTGGCTTGAGCCTGTGGGGCCATGAGAAGCAAAATTAACATGCAATTTTGCTCCACGTTTTGTTCTTTTTTTCCCAAGGATTGGACACACAATAACATAGCAGATATGTACACAATGCTTTACAGGACACACCTTCTCCAACTACAGGTGTGGAGTAATGCTTTACAGGACACACCTTCTCCAACAAAAGGCTATGGAGCAAAATGGCTCTAGTTGCTGCCAAGCTCCAAGCAGGATATGCTGCTCACCAAAGATTGTGGTCCTGACAGTTGGTGGATAGTTCTCTTGTCTCCTATAATAGCTGCCAATCCCCAGACATTGCTTCCACTTCCCAGTTTGCTTGCCATTTTCTGATCTCCCTTTTTTCTACACACCCCAGACTTACAGACTGTCTTAGCCTTTGTTTTTGTAAACTAAGAGTCTGGGTGGGGTGAGGCTGCCTCTGGACATCAGTGCATCCTTGAAAATGCCAGGGTGTGGCTCAAATAGTCAGGGAACTGTTTGTGAGTAAGGTAGTGAGTAAAGTAATGAGTGAGTGAATGCACAAGGAAAGTAGGGCGGGAAGCATTTCTGCCTGTCTGCAGTTGTTTTTCCCAAGGACAAACTGCAATCCTGCTTTACTTCCTCACATATGAGGAAGACACATTGCTTCACAGAACCGTTTAATAATTAATAAGGTCATTCAGTCAAATCTCTGTGAAATTGAATCACTCCTTCAAAGCTTTGCACAGCTCTACTAGTTAGTAAATTAGATGTTTATGACTTAATGGACTGTGTGAAGCTAACTACAGTGGCTCATTTAGCAAATCAAGGTTAAAACATACTATTGAGAATAGGTTAAGATCGTTTCAGCCCCAAGACCTCTAATCATTCGCTTGACCGGATAAAACTGCGGCGACGGTCGGGTATGGGTCCGACACTCCAGCGCCATCCATTTTCACGGCTAGTTGATTCAGCAGGTGAAAAACATACTATTGGCTTTTACAGATAAGAAAATAAACACATCTTCATGGCTTGTTTAGGCCAATTTCCAGTTGTAAATATGCTGTCAGGCACAAATAACCAGTAGCATTAATTGCATTTAAAGCACAGAATTTATTACTGTAATTTATACAAAAGAATCTAATCAATTAAAGGTCAGTGCTAAATTGGCACTACATGAAGGTTAATGGAATTCACGGGGAGTTGGACTTGGATCTCTTGTGACAACACAATGACTCCAAACTAATAGCACAGTTAACTCTGCCTTCCAGCTTTGCCTGCTCTGCTACATAGGTTTTTGTAAACTGATTAGTGCACATAGGTGTTCTGGGGAATAATTAGAAAATTCAAAATGGTGACTATGCATCACCCACTTTTAACATGTGCCACATTTGCAATGTGCATAAAAGAAACAGGAATTTGATTACCTATTTTTTTAACTCCCCACCCCCACAGGTGCCCTTGTTAAAATGAGTTGTATAAAAAGCAACAGTAGTTAAAAAGAAGTGAGGAAATTACAAACAAATTATTTACTCATGTTCATATATCATTCTAATTGAGCAACAAAAATGATATCATTCTGTGCTTGATTGCCTTAAAACAACTTATGGTTTATTCAATGACTACAGTTGCACATCATCACACTTTAAATGTGTGTTCTTATCTTTTAGGGGGAGGACAGTTTGTAGTTGTGGCTGCCTTGAAGAGACACTGCCTATTTGTGAAATGGCCATTACTGTGAGCACCTTGTCTTATTGGTAAACCCAGACCTACCTGTTAAGATTTTTTTTTAAATAAATACATCCCCTAAGACAAAATTCTGGTAAGCCTTGATATAGAACAGAATTTCATAGTATCTATTCTGTGCTCTGCTTACAGTAACTCATGTTCTTATAAACTCTAGACTAGACTACTGTAACATACTCTACATGGGGCTTCCCCTGAAGACCATTCAAAAATTTCAACTGGTGCAGAATGTGGCTGCAACGGGTAGTAAACAGTGCCAGATAGATGGAACATATAACACCACTTCTGCATAAACTACATTGGTTACAGTATGTTTCTTGGTGAAATTCAAGGTACTGGTTACCTTTAAAGCCCTACATGGCTTGAGACTGGGGTACATGAGGGAATCATCTTTTTTCCAAGAGTCTCTACTCATCCAACTAGATGGAGCAGAATAGGCATGCTGTAGATCCTGTCAGGCAGAGTGCCAGCTAATGGAGACCAGAAGACAAGCTTTTTCTGTAGTGGTTCCTGCTCTATGGAACATTCTCCCTTCGGAGATCAGAATGGCCCCAACCTGCTACCCTTTCATAAGATCTTAAAAACCTGGCTATGTTCCCATGCCTGGGGTTCTGAGTGCATTAAGGGCCCCGTTTCCTGACTGTATTGCTAACTGGCCAAGTATCTTGTTCCTATGTGTATTTAATCTGAGTGTTTCTAGCATTCTTACTGTTTTAAAATGTTTTTAGTATTTTTAATTGTATTTTTTTTAAAAAATTGTAAGCCACCCAGTCATTGACTGAGATGGGAGGCTATAGAAAATGAATAAATAAATAAATACTGAGTCATCAAAATATTTACTCTAAAATAATCATACTAGATTGTCACCAGAAATGCACTTTGCCCATTTCCAAATGCAAATCCATAGAAAAACCATTTAAAAGACTCTAAAGCTGTAATGAGAGCCAATTTAGTGTAATGGTTAAAGCACCAGATCAGAAACCAGAAAACTGTGAGTTCTATTCATGCCTTGATCACAAAGCCACCTAGGCCAGTCACTCTCTCTCGGCCCTAGGAAGGAGGCAATGGCAAATCACTTCTGAAAAACTTTGCCAAGAAAACTGCCTGACTTGCCAGCCAGGCTCTGAGATCAATCACGACAACAGAAGTAAAAAAAAGTAAAAAGTATAATAAATACACCAAAAGATACACTAATTTCAAAGTACCGTAAATGCCGGCGTATAAGACGACTTCCGCGAGCGCTGAAATCGGCGCCAAAGACGGGGGTCGTCTTATACGCCGAGTCGTCTTATACTCCGGAAATACTGGTAGTTTCCGGCGTATAAGACGACGTTCTAGGAATGTGGTCCGGCTATAAAGACGGGGTCGTCTTAAACGCCGGGTCGCCTAATACGCTGGCATATACGGTATACTAAAATCTGCTTCATTAGTGTGCAACAATAGATTTATTTATCTGAATACCTGTATTGCATGACCATTATCTCTTCTTTGAGTTATGTCTTCTCTCTTCAATATTTTCTAGCAGATCTAATCAATTTCAAGATATTTCTCATCCATGAAATTGATTATTCTTTACAATATAATTGCACTTAGAATATCATTATATCAATTAATCAGATACTTGAATTGCCCCAAATTACAGATATTTTATGACTTCATCTATTAGAAAAATGGAAAAGTTTAAAGGGTAGAAAAGTAGCTAATACTTGCCACATGGCTCTACTTATTCTCCTTCCTCTACAGACATGAGGAGATACGTTAACTTTAAAATAATATAATAATAAGGTTGGAAGGGATCTTGGAGATCATCTAGTCCAACACCCTGCTCAGGCAGGAAACCCTATACAATTTCAGACAAATGGTTGTCCAGTCTCTTCTTAAAAACTTCCAGTGTTGGAGCATTCACAACTTCTGGACACAGGTTGTTCCACTGATTAATTGTTCTGACTGTCAGGAAATTTCTCCTTAGTTCTAGGTTGCACTTTGCACTCTACAAAATTGCATTTTATACTCTACATCTCACAATCCAAAAGTCTTCTACCACTTCTGAGTGTTGACACATGAAGTCTGAAATAAATTCATTCAAAATGGTCTCTTTCGAGGAAGAACAGAATGAATGTAACTGAAATGGGTAAAGAACATTAAAAATCTTAATGTTTATTTTCATCATTAATTTTTAAAATGCCAGCTTAAAAACATATTCTTTTAGATTACATTACAGGAAACATTTTTAAATGAATGTTTGCATACAGTGGAGAATATTAAAGGTACAAAAAGTAGAGCTTAGAATAGTATATGTATATCCCAAATTATTCTAACAGAATAATGTGCATACTTATTTCTAAGTCCCACTGAAATCAGTAGAGCAGCTTCAGTGTCACAAGGATGAAATAACATATATATTATTAGGATTAAGCTGTGCTGATTTCGGTAAGATGTAGTTCTGAACCAACATAATATTGAGATAGAAATCATACTGTAAACATTTACAAAGCATATATGTGTGACAATGCAATGAAAATAATTGAATACTTTTTCTTAGGCACAGATAACTAGCCCGATAAACAACTGATCTTAATGATGAGGAATGGTATCACAATCCAACACAAACTGTCACAGTGAAATAATTTTTCTGCAGTCATTGAATAGTTCTTGGATTGATTATAGTACCACAATCATTTTATATCCTCAGATCATAATTCAACAAACTGAGGCTGACCTTTTGCAGTTTCTCAGAATTACTTCATGAGAGGCTTGAGTGCCAAACACTGGTGATATTTTGGTTAAGCAATACCTCCCTGAGCTTAATTGTCCCTGGATTTAAATCAGCACCATTATGGACATAAACTGAAGTACTATCAGGGACAAAATCGTGGTCATAGTCCTTGACTTATGACCACAATTGTGCCCAAAATTTATGTTGCTAAGTGAGACAGTTGTTAAATGAGTTTTGCCCCATTTTACAAACTTTATTGCCACAATTGTTAAGTGAATCATTGCAGTTGTTAAATTAGTAACATGTTTGTTAAGTGAATCTGGCTTCCCCATTGATGTTGCTTGTCACAAAATCACAAAAGCTGAACACATGACCCCAGGCCTAGAACAATGCAACTTTCATAAGTATGAACCAGTTGCCTTCTGAATTTTGATCACATGACCATGGGGATGCTGCAACAATCGTAAGTGTGAAAAACAGTCATTTTGCCATTATAACTTTGAGCAGTCACTAAGCGAATAGTTGTTAAATTGAGGACTACCTATAGGTAGTGATGGGATTCAAATATGTGAACAACTGGTTCTCTGTGTGGATGCCACTTCCGGAAGTCCATTCTGGGCCTGGGCAAGAAAAAATTAGCTACCAATTCTGCCAAAGTGGTGCGAACTGGCTGAATCCCACCACTGTCTATAGCAGTGATGGCGAAACTTTTAGAGACTGAGTGCCCAAACTGCAACCCAAAACCCACTTATGCATCATCAAGTGCCAGGTGGGTGTGGCCCATTGGCTGGGTGTGGCTCATTGGTTGGGCGTGGCCCATTGGGTGGGCGCGGCTGCAGTGGTAACGGCAGACTGGGTGGGACTAAAAAGTTCAATCAATCAATTCCAACTTTGCAAGATCTTTTTTTTTCCTGCGAGAAGTTGAAATTGACTGATTGAACCTTTTTTTTTTTTTTTTTGCACATGGCGGTGGAGGCCTAAAGCAAAAAGGTTTTATAAAACCCAGCTGAAGGCCTAGGACTGGGGCAATGGCACACGTGCCCACAGAGAGGGCTCTGAGTGCCGCCTCTGGCACCCGTGCCATAGGTTCACCACCACTGGCCTATAGGCTGTTAAGTTAACACATTCATGAAGGAATGGCCCGTTACTTCTACCCTGCTCTTTTACATTTTAAATATAAAAAACAAAGAGGTTACTACTGTATGCTCTGCTGAGTAGAGCTTAAGGCAGTGGTTCTCAATCTGTGGTCCCCTGGGAGGCTCAATGTTATCACAGGGGTCCATGAAGGCTTGAAGAAATGTTATGATTTAAATCATCAATTAAGTCTTGCGGGTCTGTGCCACAGAAGGTATTTAGATGGCATCTGTGCTGAAGAAACGATTGGGAACCACTGGCTTAAGGAATTCTAACTGGGAAATTTAAATAAAAGGCATGTGATAGGAAAACCACTTTAAATATAATTTGATTCTTATGTTCATCATTTTCTGGCCAAAAGAGGTATGGTGATGACCACGATGATTTGCAAAAGCAGGTAGCCCTACTTTTTAGACCAGCCACTCCACCAGCAAATGTTGTCTGACCAAAAACACACACACACACACACACACAGAACACACACACTTTCTTCCCCCAAGCCTCTTCTTGCCTCCCCAAAGCTGCTACAGCAGAACTTTCTTTCCAGTTCTAGAAGCGCGCGCGCACGCGCGCTCTTCCTTCTCCTCGCCAGGCGCAAAAGAAAAAAGAGCAGCTTTTAGAACAAATGGAACCACTTCCTCCTCCAGCAGGTGGTTTCTTTCTTTTTCTTTTTCTTTTTTTTTTTTACCCTTTTGGTTCAACTCTATTTCTTGTCCCGCGATTCCTCCTGTCGTTGCTCCCACCTCACTCCCGAGTCTTCCAGTTTTCTCTCCTCCACCCATTTCCCCTGGGCTCCGCCTTTTGTGTGCGCCTTTCGTGCACCGCGTTATTCCGCGCTCACCTTTGCTGCCAGCGCTGGTGACTGTGGAGTTCCCACAGCCCATCGCTGGCAACTCCGGCCGGTTCCCTCGATGTGGCGCGCTTCGAGAAAAACCCCCGAGGGTGACTCCACCCCTCCCGAAACAGCCTGGAATGACAAAACGATCCACTTCGTGCTGCGGCGACAGGGGTGAAAAAGAGAAGACGAAGAGCCGGTGGCAGAAGTCACTGGACGAGCGAGAGAAGAATCCGCGCCGAGGGGACCACCTCTCTTTTATCCCGATCCGTCGTCTTGGCAACAACAGAAGCCAATCAGTGTTGCCTTCATCTTTAAGGATGCTTTCCTACTGGCCTAGCAGAAATGAGCGGGGTTTCGAATGGAGAAGGAATGGGATGGGGTTAAAAACGCAAGACTGGGCCAGTGGACAGCCAGCTGATTCATAGGGAAACCCACTAGAATGATCATCAGTGAAGATTATTACTTTTCCCACCTTGCAATCCTCTCCTAATAACTATTCAGTGCTACGCTGCCCTTGTCATTTGCTGTTTTTTATTTATCTATTTATTTTACACCCGTCCTTTACTTTGTGGGATTATTATGTATACTTATTTTCTTCGCAACAACTACTCTGGACTGAGAACAGTGACTGGTCCAAAGCCACCCAACTGGCTTTCATGCCTAAGAATCATGCCAGCTGATTCATAGGGAGTCTGTGTCCTGGTTTGTAGCCCAGCACTATGCCACTACATCAGGCTAGCTAACAGGCATGTGACTATCTTATCCAGTTAGAAATACAGAAATATATGTGGAGGGAATAGTGGGACGCATTCTTTATATACAGTATTTATCTATTGCTATTATCTATATATACTAGGAGACACAAGTACTTCCAAGAAGGCTTAAAATAGTATCAATTTACCATTAATGCAATAACAATGCCAGATTTTCTATCAACAGAGACCTCCTTTATAGAGTTCAAAAGGATAGTGAAAATCAAGCTGTTCTTGACAGCGTTCTAATCAGTTTTGGCTATCATTATTCTTTATATTTCCTTTTATTTATCTGTATTTGTTCTTTCTTAATTATCTATATTCCTATTTTAATATGTACTGTGGATATTTTCATGTTTTTATATCTTTTAACTAAACTGCTCTAAATTATTGCAGCTGAAGCAAGTACAGAACATTCCCTCAGCTCCTGGTTCTTCTCCCCATCCAGAGACCACTGCTTTGCAGTATCCTTGTGAAAAGCAACCATACAAAATGCAGCTTGGGTGATCTCACATTGTCTCTTTGTCCAGAGAGTGTTAAAGAAACTGATCTAATGGTTGGCTCTCTGTTCTTGGCCACAATCATTGGCTCTACTTTACATGGAACCATCTTTTATCCACCATTCTTTTTCAGATTTTCAGTATATGTGTGTGAATGTGCAAATAAATGTATTTGTCTGTGTCTTTCTGAGAATAATTTCTAGGAAACAGTTCAAAGTCAATAGAGTTTTGAACAGACTGTAGTGCACTATGCATGCTGTAAGTCAAGTTTCAATAAATTGTGATTAGCTTTCATTAAAAAATTCCCTGGAAATATATATTTTGATAAGGTAACATAACAATGTATTTATGTATATATCTATTTTCATTTTATATCAATCTATACTCTCCTCACCCCTTTATGGATTACTGCCTTGTCGTGGCGAAGGGGCTTGTGTAACTCAATGAAGCTATAAACTATGCCGTGCAGGTCCACCCAAGACGGACAGGTCATAGCAGAGAGTTCTGACAAAATGTGATCCACTGGAGAAGAAAATGGCAAACCACTCCAGTATCTTTGCCATGAAAACCCCATGGACAGTACTAAAAGGCAAAAAGATATGACGCTGGAAGATGAGCCCCTCAGGTCGGAAGGTGTCCAATATGCTACTGGGGAAGAGCAGAGGGCTAGTACTAGTAGCGCCAGAAAGAATGAAGCGACTGGGCCAAAGCCGAAAGGACGCTCAGCTGTGGATATATCTGGTGGTGAAAGGAAAGTCCGATGCTGTAAAGATTTTTTCTCCATAGGAACCTGGAATGTAAGATCCATGAATCAAGGCAAGCTAGACGTAGTCAAAAAAGAGATGACAAGACTGAACATCGACATCTTAGGAATCAGCGAACTAAAATGGACAGGAATGGGTGAATTTAACTCAGATGACCAACAGATATACTACTGTGGGCAAGAATCCCTCAGAAGAAATGGAGTAGCCTTCATAGTCAATAAAAGAATAGGAAAAGCAATACTGAGATACAATCCCCAAAATGACAGAATGATCTCAATTCGAATCCAAGGCAAACCATTCAATATCACAATAATCCAAATCTATGCCCCAACCACTGGTGCTGAAGAGGATGAAATTGATCGGTTCTATGAAGCCCTACAGCACCTTATAGAATTAACACCAAAAAATGATGTCCTTATCATCATGGGGGATTGGAATGCTAAGGTAGGAAGCCAAAAGATAACCGGAATAACAGGCAAGTTTGGCCTTGGAGTACAAAATGAAGCAGGGCACAGGCTGATAGAATTTTGTCAAGAGAATATGATGGTCATAACAAACACTCTTTTCCAACAACCCAAGAGACGGCTCTACACATGGACATCACCAGACGGTCAACATAGAAATCATATTGACTATGTGCTCTGCAGCCAAAGATGGAGAAGCTCTATACAGTCAGTAAAAACAAGATCAGGAGCTGACTGTGGCTCAGATCATGAGCTTCTCGTTGCAAAATTTAGGCTTAAATTAAAAAAAGTAGGGAAAAGCACTAGGCCACTCAGGTATGAACTAAATCATATTCCTGATGAATATACAGTAGAGGTGACAAATAGATTTAAGGAATTAGATCTGATAGACAGAGTGCCTGAAGAACTATGGATGGAAGTTCGCAACATTGTACAAGAGGTAGCAACTAAAACCATCCCAAAGAAAAAGAAATGCAAGAAAGCAAAATGGCTGTCTGAGGAAGCTTTGCAGATAGCTGAGGAAAGAAGGAAAGCGAAAGGCAAAGGAGAAAGAGAAAGATACACCCAATTGAATGCAGAATTCCAGAGAGTAGCTAGAAGAGATAAGAATGCCTTCTTAAATGAACAGTGCAAAGAAATAGAAGAAAACAACAGAATAGGGAGGACCAGAGATCTCTTCAAGAAAATTGGAGATATGAAGGAACGTTTCATGCAAAGATGGGCATGATAAAGGACCAAAATGGCAGGGACCTAACAGAGGCAGAAGAGATTAAGAAGAGATGGCAAAACTACACAGAAGAACTATACAAGAATGAGCTTAACGTCCCAGATAACCACAATGAGATGGTCACTGACCTCGAACCAGACATCCTAGAATGTGAAGTGAAATGGGCCTTAGAAAATCTGAGCAACAACAAAGCTAGTGGAGGTGACAGTATTCCAGCTGAGCTATTCAAAATCTTAAAAGACGATGCAGTAAAAGTGCTACACTCAATTTGCCAGCAAATTTGGAAAACTCAACAGTGGCCACAGGATTGGAAAAGGTCAGTTTACATTCCAATTCCAAAGAAAGGCAATGTCAAAGAATGTTCAAACTATCGCACCATTGCACTCATTTCACATGCTAGTAAAGTTATGCTTAAAATCCTACAAGCTAGACTCCAGCAGTATGTGGATCGAGAACTACCAGAAGTACAGGCAGGATTTCGAAGAGGCAGAGGAACTAGAGATCAAATTGCCAACATACGCTGGATCATGGAGAAAGCTAGGGAGTTCCACAAAAACATCTACTTCTGCTTCATTGACTATGCTAAAGCCTTTGATTGTGTGGATCACAACAAATTGTGGCAAGTTCTTAAAGAGATGGGAATACCAGACCATCTTATTTGTCTCTTGAAAAACCTATATGCGGGTCAAGAAGCAACAGTGAGAACTGGACACGGAACCACTGATTGGTTCAAAATTGGAAAAGGAGTCCGGCAAGGCTATATACTGTCGCCCTGCCTATTTAACTTATATGCAGAGCACATCATGAGAAAGGCAGGGCTAGATGAAAAAAAAGTTGGAATTAAGATTGCCGGGAGAAATATCAACAACCTAAGATATGCAGATGATACCACGCTAATGGCAGAAAGTGAAGAGGAACTAAAGAGCCTCTTCATGCGGGTGAAGAAGGAGAGTGCAAAAGTTGGCTTGAAACTCAACATTAAGAAAACCAAAATCATGGCATCCGGCCCTCTCAATTCCTGGCAAATAGATGGGGAAGAAATGAAGGTAGTGACAGATTTTATTTTTCTGGGCTCCAAGATCACCTCAGATGGGGACTGCAGCCAAGAAATTAAAAGACGCTTGCTCCTGGGGAGGAAAGCTATGGCAAATCTAGACAGCATACTAAAAAGCAGAGACATCACCCTGCCAACAAAAGTGCGTATAGTCCAGGCCATGGTTTTCCCAGTTGCAATGTATGGCTGTGAAAGTTGGACCATAAGAAAGGCTGAGCGCAAAAGAATTGAGGCCTTTGAACTATGGTGCTGGAGAAGACTCCTGCGAGTCCCTTGGACTGCAAGGCGTTCAAACCGGTCAGTCCTAAAAGAGATCAACCCCGACTGCTCTTTAGAAGGCCAGATCCTGAAGTTGAAACTCAAATACTTTGGCCGCCTAATGAGAAGGAAGGACTCACTGGAGAAGGGCCTAATGCTGGGAAAGATTGAGGGCAATAGAAGAAGGGGACGACAGAGAATGAGATGGCTGGATGGAGTCACTGAAGCAGTAGGTGTGAACTTAAATGGACTCCAGAAGATGGTAGAGGACAGGAAGACCTGGAGGAACGTTGTCCATGGGGTCGCGATGGGTCGGACACGACTTCGCAATTAACAACAACAAAATACTCTCCTCATACCCTTGAGTATTGGAAAATTTGTTTCTCAGTTAATATCACAAAGTTTTTGTACTTGGCAATCAATTTCTTGCAAAACAGTGAATATCTAAAGAAGTGAAAAGGACAATGTACTGTAGGTATGATGTCATCAGGCAAATGCCATAACTTATATATTTATATCAGACATTGTGGCACAAGTATACAGTGGTGGCTATTGCATGTTGAAATGTTTATTGTTATTTTGGTGCCATTGGGATGTGTGCAAACTCCACTATGCATAATTATGAGCAGAAGGAGGAAAAGATGAGAACAAGAGAGAGTGACATCTTCATATGTTGTTTCTGAGTGATGCAGAAGTTATGTGGTGAATTGCAGTTAGAAACAGAATCACAGAACAGATAACATTCAGTCTGATGTATTATTTCTTAAATATACTTCTGTATAGTGAAACTCTGCAAGCAATGCATACTCTGTGTTTAATGGGATTTACTGCCAGTTAGATAGCAATCAGAATAATTAACGTTGGCTAGGTTCACTCATTCATTGTATCCATGATTTAACCATAGCTTATTGAACAAGTCATTGAATCTGATTAAAACATAATGATAAAACAATCCATTCTTTTTAAATTCAGCATTTTATTGCCTCGTTGGCATGTTAAAGTTTAGTCCTTTCTTCACATTATAATACTGGCACCACTTTATGCCTTCTGAATCTGACTTTGCTTAAAGTTAAGAGTTGGAATACTGTGAGGGGGATCTAGGTGTCTTAGCAGGCCACCACTTAAATATGAACAGCAGTGTGCTGCAGTTGCCAAAAAAGCTAATGAAGTCCTAGGCTGCATCAACAAGGATAATGTCAAGATAACTAGAAGCGATAGTATTGTTTTACACTGTGCTGGAAAGACCACCTTTGGAATACTGTGTCCAGTTGTGGTCACAAAGATACAAAAAACATGCTGAGATCCTGGAAAGTATGCAAAGAAGAGCAACAAAGATGATAAAGAATCGGAAGATTAAATCGTATGAACAGTTGAAGGAATTAGATCTATTTAGCCTATCAAAGAGAAGGATTGGGGGGAACATGAAAGCTGTTTTTGAGTACTTAAGGGACTGGCACAAAGTAGAGGGGATTGACTTATTCTGGAAGGCATCAGAGGGCAGAACAAGAAGTAATGGATGGAAGCTTGTTAAAGAGAGATCTAATCTGGATGTAAGAAGCCATTTTCTGACTGATAGCTTGCTTCCTGAGGTTGTGGGTACTCCATCACTGGAAATTTTCAAAAATAGACTGGATCACCATTTGATTGGCATAAAGTTCCTGCCTTGAGCAGGGGTTTGAACTAGAAGACCTCCAAGATCGCTTCCAGCCCTATGATGATTTTATATTTGTTAATTAATGGGACTCTGGATTTTTTGTTGAAGCCTGGATTGGAGAAGACGTCATTTATGGATTTGCCTGTAGTTAAAAGGTGAATTTTGGAATCCTATGTTTTATAGGTTAATTAAGAGGAAATGAGAAATAGTAAAACTGTTTATACTTGTGATGAGAGGGAGAAGTTGCTTTCTTAGAAGGGGTTCTATTTTTCTTTCTTTTTTATTTTCTTACATCTTTTATTCTACTTTTTTGTTTTTTTAAAAAAACTATTTTTTTTAGTATTTACTATTGTTATTACAACTTTTAATATATATATATCTTTAAAAAAGGTACTGACAGAGAAACATAAGAGCCTGTTTCCAGTGCTTTATATGGTATATAATCTTGGTTTTTTTCCTCCATAATAGCAGGCTCTTAGAAAAATAAATCATAAATCATTGGTAATCATTGATTTTTATTTAGCAGTGCAGTTTACCCTCCTGAAAGAACGACAGTGTTATTGTGCAATTTCAAATGTGTAAAATGTCAAGCTTGTTTGCCACCCTAAGTGTTCAAAGCTGAAATCTCTTCTTTAACCTGTTTTATTTGAAGTGCTTATTCACCTGGTGGGCACCTAGCTGGTTGGGAAACTGCTCCCCTCCGCTTGAGATGCCAACTTATAAGGAGATACTTAACAGAACAGAGGAGGCAGAGTTAGCTGTTATTTAAGCTGTTACCATTACAAGTTGCACTACACAACTGGGGCACCATTTGCAGTTCCTCACGACAATCATATTTTCTCCCATTTTATAAATGCAAATAGTAAATCATCAAAAGGTCAACGATAACAAGGAACAAAATCAATATATTTTTAGAATACAAACATTAACATTGGGAATACATATATACGTACTCTTCAATTTGCAATTGCAATTGAGCCCAAAATTTCCATTGCAAAGCCAGGCAGTTGTTAAGTGAATGTTAAGTTTTTTGCTACAGTTGTTAAGTGAATCACTGCAGTTGTTAAGTGAAGCATGCGGTTGTTAAGCAAAATTAGCTTCCTCCATTAATGTTGCTTGTTGGAAGGCAGCTAGGAAGGTTACAAATGGTGATCATGTGACCCCAGGCAGAGCAAATATTATAAATGCATGCCAGTTGCCAAGTGCCCAAATTTTGATCATGTGCCCATGCAGATGCTGCAACAGTCATAAGTGAGAACTGGTATAAGTCAGTTTTTTCAATGCCACTATTAACTTCAAATGGTCATTAAACAAATAGTTGTAAGTGAAGGATTACCTGTATTTCTTTTTTTTTTCTCGAAATCATTTTCATGGTAATTTTTTCATTATTTTTATTTAGTTTTTAAAAAGAAATAGGTGAAAATGATACTTGGAGAAAAGCACACACAAACCTCTGTGTAATTAACAATTACATCAGTGACTTTTTCAAATTACAAGCACCACCCTTGTCTTACATTTGAGACTGGGGAAATGAGAGTTTTAACTGTAGTAACCAACATGGATTGGAGGACAGAATGCTTGCTTTTTGCACTGAGGAAAAGGCCAAGGGAGGTAAATAGGATCATACCGAAGCTTTTTCCTATTGCAAATAGGAAGTGATCACAAATGAAGCACAACCTTTCTTGGGACTTTTCTGTGACTCTGAAAACAGTCAAAAATGTTTTTTTGGCGACCATCATTTCCTCTAATGCATTATTTCAAATAGCTAAAGCAGAACACACAAGCAAATGTTTATTGTGTTTATTTTTAGGCTAAGATTAGACTAAGATTATCTAAAACCCACTTGTGGGATAATATAATCACTTGCAGTTGCAGTTCTGAATGTAGGTAGAGATTGTCCTCCTTTGTATAATATGCCATGGCAGAATTTCAAAGAATGTTTGAAGAACTTTGGGCTTAGTTCAGAACAAGCTTGGTGCTCTTTGCTTTCGTTCTTCCCACCAGAAGGCAAGACTAACATATTATAGATGGTCCTCTTCAGAGTTTGGAGGATGGTGGTAGTTGATGGGCATTTTTTCAACTTTATGATTATGTCATCAGCAGGACTGAGTGTTGCTGGTCGCAAAAATCAACCATTTATAAATTTGGTAGAGTACCTCTATGCCAGTGATGGCAAACCTTTTAGAGACCGAGTGCCCAAAAACTGGCCCCGCCCCCGCCCCTGCTCCACCCCTTGCCCCGCCCCTGCTCCACCCCCCATCCCCCACCCCGCCTGCCCGCAGGACCACTCACCGCCTCCAGGGCCTGCCACAGATCACCCAGGCAGCCCAACAGCGCTATGATGGTCATGCCCTCTGCCCGCACCCTGCAGCATCAGCTGTGCACAATGGGGTGTGAGGGCAGAGTCTTGTCTATGCTGCCTGGCTGTCATGTCCTTGGCTGTGCTGCTCTGCGTGGGCCATGCTCAGGGGTGATTCTCCTTCTGGGAGGCTGCTGGAGAGGAGGGGCTCACGGGGGGAGGCGAGGCTAGGGCAATGGCACATGTGCCCACAGAGAGGGCTCCAAGTGCTGCCTCTGGCACCATTGCTCTATGCCAATTCCCCAAAGTTTCCAGAATATTTCCTATATTTATGCTGGTCTTTGACCGTAATGAAGATTTGGTTTATTCCTTATACCTCTTTTACCTTATTTTTTTCTCAACTGGTAGTTTTTCCTCACACATTAGATTTTCTAAAAATGGAAGTTAAGATGATGCTAAAGATTACATAGTACTTTCATTATTCTTGTGTTGACCTTTTAAATCACTCAAAAACCACAATTCTAGTGTATGTCAATTGAAAACACACACATACATGTCTTATGTTTATAAAACATTTTTAAAAACATACAAAACTGTAATGATCAAGTGCAGTGAATTCCATGGTGGTCATCATCTGCAGTCAACAATAGCAATAAATACAGAATTTAAACTGTAATAATAGACCAAATTTTTTTTCAAGGGCTCACACTTTAGGAATCATATAGTGTATGCAGTTCATTAAACAGCAAACGCAGTTGAGGAACATCAGCACCCTCCCAGGGTCAGGAAGAAAAAGAATCAGCTGAAGGGATTTTATTGTGCTTATGATTTTAGTATGTTTAAGTTTGACATTAGCATTTATTTTATATATAGTAACCATTTTATACTGATACTTATAGTGTTATCATGTAATCATTGTTTTGTTATTTTGTAATCATTATTTTGTAGTTAATTGCTTGATCAGATGCTTTATATATATATTGGAAAAGTAAGCGCTTCATGCTTTAGGTGATTGCTTATATGAAAAGAGCATAGTAAGGGGAGGGGGGAAATGAGTTACGGATGGAGCCTGGGTTGCTGTGTATGAGTCATCATCTAGGAATTATTTTTGGGTGCCATCTTATGCCTAGTACCAAGACCTGATCTTTTTGTTCTGGAAAGGTATAAAAGGTGGAAGACATCTTTTCTGGTTGTTGCCTTCATCTCTCTACCAGCCACGAAAAGAGATGGGGTCACCTCATCTCTTTGCTGAAACCTCGACTCAGGAGTTTCTTTGGCTCTTTTAAATTCCTGAGTAATGCTGGGGCAATTGTGAGGCTAAGTGGAAAACCTTACAAACCATTCTAAGAAAATCTTCAAAGTCTGCAAAACTGCAAATAATATTTAAAGAGGGAGCAATCCTCCTTCGAAGTAACCCCATGAACACTGAGTATGCTCAACTGATGAAGGGAAACGAAAGCGAGACTAAACTACTGTACAGCATGCTGGAAAAAAGGCCTGGCTGCCTAACAACTTGGCTGGGGGACACTCCACGCTGTAACATTTCGTTATAACCCTCCCTTGTTGGTTGCACTTTGTCTCGCTGCTCTTTGCCTTAAGGTTGTGAGTAAGCAGGGTGGAATGCACACAGAAGAGTTAATGAGGAAGATCCTCAATGCCACACTTCCTGCTGCTCTCCATTTCTCGTCCTGCCAGAAACAGGAACTAAGAGGAGGAGTCCTAGGCGAGGCGTTTGCCTGCCTGTTGACCGGGGCTGGGCATGCAACAGGCGGGAGTACAACCTGTTTAACACACCCCTGGGTTCGTGGGCTGCGCCTCTGGCCTCTTTCTCCCTTCATTTTAGTGTGGAAGAAAGGGAAAAGGAGGCTCCGGAGGAAAGACTCCGGATTCCGCAGGAGGTTTGCTCGCACGTTCGGTCTCCTGGGCGAAGCGACCCAGCGCCCAGATCCGACGTGTCAGCAAAAACGCCTGGCCATCGCTTTCGCAGCTGAGCAAGCTTACGTGATTCCCGATCGCCTCTCCAGCGCCAAGCAATGCCCGCCGTCGATAGACTTCGCCTAGAAGACGCTCTGCAAGATAGTCCGCAGGTACCGGATTCCAGAGGAGGCTTGAGTGCACCTGATCTGCGGTTTGGGAAGGGATGGCGCAACAGATTCCGTGCAAAAGCTACCTGCCGTCCGGGCGAGGGACAAGGCCAGGGGCGGAGTGGGGTAGAAGGAGAAAAAGATTGACGGCAATGATCGGGAAGATGTGATTTAGCCGAGCCTGTCTTTATGGATAGAGTTTATGGTCGCATCAAAGCAAATCTGAGACTGCATTTATCGTTTCACAATAAGCATAGGAAAATTACGTTCTGCCGAGATTGCAGTCTTCATAACTATTATTCAAATCATATTGTCGCGCCTTCTTCCTTCTGTTCCATTTTCTTCTTTTTTTATGGTACCAAGAGAATAACAATATTATTTAAACTGACCAAGTGCTATCACTAAAATATTCAAAGTTCTTTGGAGATCAGAGATGTACTTTGCATCACATAATGACAACCCAGCCTTTAGTATTTAAGGATCCTGATGTAATATATAAAAAAGAGCAGGGTTCTTAACAATCGTAATAAAAATAATGCTCACCCGGATACTGTACTGTGAAAACACAACTTCCGCGCAGTTGCTATTATGGTAATGTGTCTTTTCTCAGGTTACAACTTGGAAAGGAAGGGGAGCAGGGAAGGGTTAACAAGGACTTGAGGCAGTATACCCTGGAAATATTAATGAGTTTTTGGATGGAGGAGGTGGAGACACGAAGCACTGCAGCTTTATTAGTGGTATTTGCTCCAATTTGACAAATCTAGGTCACTGTGAAGAAAAGAGAGGAATTTTGCAGAAAAGAAAAACAATAACTTTACCTGAAAGCAACTGGGGAAAAAAACAATGGTTTGGAATGATAGGGGGCGAATTGAGGTTAAATACTGAGACTCCACAATTAAAAACTATGCAGGACAGTTCAAAGTGGAAGGAGGAAATTGATTGTTCAAGGCTGGTGAATTTGGGGGCCTTGGTAAATTTTTATGGTCAGTCAACTGCCTCTGTTAGTAAGGACCAAATGACTTTATTAGCACACAGCCCTCTCCCTCGTCTGGTTTTGGATCTTTGTTAAGCATTGCAAAAGAGTCTTTTGGTTTATTGACAAACAAAGCAATATAATGTGATTCATGCAAATGGATACAGGTGCTTAAAGGGATGGTTCCTGATTATTATTTTGTGCCAAGGGGATTGGACAATATTGTGAATATAAAACAATTGCCACTATGGGTGGGATTTTTTTTTTTTTAGAACCTATATTTCCACAGTTGCTGAAGTTCTGGGTTTTCATGCTTATTTATAATTTATAAAATGCACATTTTTCCTTGATTTGTAGATTTCTTAGATATAGTTGCTTTCAGTGAAGGCGTGTTCACAGAAGTAACTTGGAAATTGAGATAGTCCAGAAAAAATAATAAAGGCCTATCACATAATTGTGTCAATTGTATCAATTATGTGAGAGATCCAAGGTGTTATACTTTGGTCTAATGAGAAACTAATTTCAGTTTTTATTTATTTGCCAGTTTTCCAGTAACTGTAGCCCTTTATGGGTTACAAGAACTCCCATCATTCTCACTATGGTTTTGATAACTAATACTGAAAGGAGTTGCAATTGGACTGGTGGGCATGCTTATTTATAATTTATAAAATGCACATGCATTTTAATGTTATTGTGCAAAAGAAGCAAATTACATTAATTGTGCAATAATATGCAAGCATCAGTTGCAAGTGAAATCCTTGGGGCTTGAATTTAACATCTGTATTTGGATCCCATGGAAGGTGACATCCATTTTGTTCCACTGATAACATGCTTGTACATTTCGTGTGTGTGTGTGTGTGTGTGTGTGTGTGTGTGTGTGTGTGTGTGTGTGTAGAGAGAGAGAGAGAGAGAATGAGAATGTGCAATCAATTATATATATATAATTATTTTTGCAAGGAATGCAATCTCATCCAGCATGTTGTCTTCCACATGTGTTGAATTATAATTTAGGTCACCCATGTTGATAAGGGATAATGAAGTTGTCCTTTATATTTGAACACTTTGGATGAATAAAAACTGAAGGGGCTGCAGTGGGGATGGGGTATTAGGAACCACACTTAGAAAATCTTTTGTTTTAAAAATTCACAAATTTTAATCATGCTTACTTTAGTTTGTAAGCTTCAATCAGGAAATATACTTTGAAAGCTATTCAGTGTCAGTAATTATGCTGCTTAGGTGTTATATTGCAAAACAAAGCTTCTTATATTCAACTCTTCATTCTCCTTTCTCTTCAACAGCTGAAAGTCTTAAGTGTAAACACAGAAATGAGTCTTGGATTATATTCTCCGTATTATTAAAAAAAAATTGGCCAGAGGATAAATGATAATATTAAAAGGGGACACCCAATTATCACACTCCAAAGACATCAATAAATACTAATGTCAAATAATTTTGTATATCTAACACATACCATCAGATCTCTTATTATGGGACTATTATCTTATGGAAATAATTTGCTTCATAGTAACTTGAGAGCTGTAATAGGATATTGTGTGGAATTCCCATAAATATGTGAATATTTTGAACAACAAAGATTTTCTAATCAATATTCCAAAATGTATTTTGTTATTATTATGGCAGAATTTTTTTTATAGTTCTGAATTCATTTTGCTTCTTTGCTAAGAATATCTGATCATTCTAATTTGCATTCCATTGTTTTGATTTATCTGATAAGAAAACATTTTCTACTGTGTCTTTAAATAATTCCATTACAGAGACAATCAAGTTTGCAAAATGGGATTATAGGGATGTGGTAGGGGAGCATTGATAGCTCTCTTTTGATCAGAAGAAAAATACCTGATTCCATATTTTGATAAGCATCTTTATTAGGCTAATTGCTGTGCAACTTCTTCAAAGCTGTTAATCAGGCTATATAGTAAACAGAGTCCTCCCACATGCCTCCTAAGTGGCAAAATCTGTAGAAATGGCTCTCATCAGAAATTAGGGCCTGCCAGGAACTCAATACAATTCTTCAGATTTAGGGGATAAAGAATCAAACCATTTTTAAAGGTTATACCAAAACTAGTATTCCACACAGGGAACAATGGATTTTTAAACACTAACTATAACAAAAAATGAACATTCAAAATGAACAACAGTTAAAATTTTATAAAAGCAATGATATCCATATATACACCATTATATATTTACAATCACAAGAAAAATAATATGTTTACTATTATTAAATGTATTTACTATCTAACTTACTGCCATCCTCAGCATCTTCCTTACTTCTATCAATCATCTTACTTTATTAAATAAACAAGTGTTCAGATCCCTCTTAAATCATTTGTCCAATGAATAATGAAGCTTCTCCTCAAAATATTTCCCCTTAGTCCAGGTTTCAGACGTAGAATATGATCGAATCCTTCTTCCTCTAAGATATCCAAATACTTTTCCCACCCTGAATTTGCCCTGTGTATTAACATAAACTCTGTGGCTTCGTGCTTTAATTTGTCAGTAATCATTTGGTAAAGTCTACATGATTAGTCGTTATAGTACATAATGGTTGTATGGATTTTCTCTGTTCTCCTGACTATGTTGGCTCCTCTCTTAATAACTTCATTTGAAGCATTTCGTGAGATTCCTCCTTACAAATTACACAATCCTCCTCTAATCTGGTATCCTCAGGAGTTTAGATTAAAATTCCCTTTTTATCACCCTGTAATCACCAAGTATTCTTTGTTTGTTTACCTTTGCCTCCATTCTACTTTCCCTTACTCTCTGGTTTCTCCTGCAGTGACCTGTTGATAGATAGAATTACCCTTTCACGCTCAGTAATGGGCTAATGCAAATAATGCAAATAGGCATATGGAATATTAAGATATTTTAAATTATATAAACCCAATGTAATGTACGCACTGTCATGCATTTCTACAGCATATAAATTAAAATAATATATACATTTTGAAATAAAAAAAACATGCTCCCCCACACTTACAGTTCTCAAGAAAAAACTTTCCTAAGCCTGGATCTATTTGGAGAAGAAATTCTTCATTTGAGGTTAATAGAATGTCTAAGTGGCCCCTAAATCTCCCTTAGACTTTTTTGTTTGAAGGGGTGACCCATATTAGACATCCAAAACTAAATAGGTTACCTGGTAAAAACCTTCCCTATTAGCAATGAAATGTATGTAAGCATTTATTCCTAATCTGGTGTAAATATGTATTATCCCACAAACATCTAAAACAAGCCTATGTCCTTTTTTGCACCTTTCCCTTTTATAAGTGACTGTGCAAGGGATTTTCCCCAATGCAAGCAGCACTTTCAAAACATTTATCCCAGTGTTTCTCAAACTTGGCTGCTTGAAGAAGTGTGGACTTCAAGTCCCAGAATTCCCCAGACAGCTGACATCTTCAAGTGACATTTTCAAATAGCCAAGGTTGAGAAACACTATCTGATGATGCCAGAAGTCAGGGTCATCTAATAAATAGTCTTTCGTAGATGGTGTGGTTTTATTATGGAATTTATTTCTTCACTATACAGGTAACATCAGCCAGATTTAATTCCAGAAAAAAAGACTATGGGTGGTCACTAGTTCCAGTGGCTCTGTGTACAGTAATAACAATTGTTGGGTCCCTAAGCTTATGTCCCACTTCTGGATTTCTTGTCAACAACTTGGTGAACAGAACGCTGGATCACAGAGTCTTTGGCAGATGGTATCTCTGTTGAATATATTTTTTTTATAATTAAGGTGTTGCTAATGGAAGAAAAAAATGAGTGATACTTTTATTCAAGATTTCATTTATGTTTGTTTTTAAATGCTTCAGACCCGCTCCTTGCTGAGCGTATTTGAAGAAGATGCTGGAACACTCACAGAGTACACCAACCAGCTGCTTCAAGCAATGCAGCGAATCTATGGGGCACAGGTAAGTTAGTTTCCATGAAATACATTGGATATTTTTTTCTTTCCTTTTCTAAGATACATTTTTAATTTTTCTTGTACTTTATCTTACAGTTCAGCTACTGTTAATACAGGTAGTTCTTGACTTACAAAGTTCATTTAGTGACCATTGGAAGTTACAATGACACTGTAAAAAGTGACAGGACCATTTTTCACACTGCATTGCAACATCTCCATGGTCATGTGATCAAAATTCAGACTCTTGGCAACTGTCTCACATTTATGACATTTATGACATTTGCAGTGTCCCAGGATTATGTGATCCCCTTTGTGATCTTCTGACAAGCAAAATCAACCGGGATGCCAATTCACTTATCAACCATGTTACTAACTTAAAAACTGCAGTGATTCACTTAACAACTGTGGCAAGAAATGTCATTAAATGGGGCAATACTCACTTAACAAATGTCTCACTTAGCAACAGAAATTTTGGGCTCAATTGTTGTCATAAGTTGAGGACTATCTGTAGTTGAGTATTGATCTGGGGAGGGTGGGAATAGGCCCAGAAATTTTGGACATCAATTTCCATCAGCCTACCCAACATAGCTGTTCGCAAGGAATTGCCAGTGTTGTAGACCAACATATTTTGAAGACATAGTTGTGATTCCTAATCTGTACATCATGCAATCTGGTCTTTAGAAACTTCATCTTCTGAGGTAAAAAAATACTTTTTGCTGTTATTGTTGATTGTATGGGAAAGAGATTTTACAGAAATAAAGGAGCCCTTTAAATTTTCATATCCTTTTCATTTTCTTTTTGCCTTGGTCTGTGTATACAAAGGCCAACCCTTACTGTTTACATATGAGTTCTTTAAATTATAACTGTGGATTGCATCACCACCCTTAAATGCCAGGTGGAATATCAGAAGCTCAGCATTTTATGGAGCCCCTCTCCCCGACCTCCTGCGATTTGCATCTTATTTCAAGATTATTTTCATCAGAAAAGCAATGTATTAACATAGTTTGAATTACTGCAGAGATGAGTGTTAGTGGTTTTGCCCAACATAATTTTCTTAACGATTATTTGAGAAAAGTTGTGAAGGCAATTGTTCTTTGTAAAGCATGTAACATTTTGTGATAGATTTCAGCTGCAGCATGAGGGCAGTTTTATTGGTCTTGCAATTTTGTGAAAAGTATAAAAAATAGTTTTATTGAAATAATTGACATAAATGAAATAAAATTGCTGTGGCTTTAAAACAAAGGTGATTTTGCTGAAAACTTGTATATTGTTTTGTCTGTATGCTGCCTTCTTTTTTCTTCCTACATAACTGGGAAGACCTTTCTAGTGTGTCCTCTCACTTTCTTCAATAGCAGGCTTGTATAAATCCTGATTGGTTACCACTTTCCAACTTAAAGATTAAAGATAGTTTCTTTAGAAAATGAGCAACATTTGTTTTAAATTATATTTAATTCAGGCATAATGACAGTGTTAAAAAAGCAGCACTAAAATGACAGCAGGGGGTTTTTATTACCACAATTTTATCTGTAATCTTTCCTCATTTGTGAACTAATGAGCAGTGTGTTAAAGAGCACTGCAGATTTCTGTTTATTTAGGAAGCAGATTGCAGGAGATCCAGTAACGTATGGATTAATGTATTAATTTATTAATCTGTTTTTGGTGGGAGAGAAACTTAATACAGGAGCCTAAAGTCATTCAATCTGCATCCAATCCAGCTATATGCATCTAAGGAATAATTGTTGTATAGATTAAAAATAGAATAAATATCAACAGCCCCCTTTGAGGTGAAGCCTGTGACTGTAATACAAAATTAGAGTTTTAGATAATATTTTTTTTAAGTCTCAGCTATGCCTAGAGACTCACTGAGATTTGTTTCTTTGGTAAAGTTATAATCTGCTTTTTGATAAGGAGCCAAGGACCTCCTCCCATTTTTTTCACTACATCAATAAGTCAGGTTGGGCTAAGAGAGAGTGACTGACCCAAAGTCTCCTATGGAGCTTATCCAGTCCTGACTCTACATAGCTGGATAGAGTCTTCTTTAATAGTTGGCTTTAATGTGAATTCTGTTCTTTAATAGTATCCAATAAAAGACATTGCCTGAGCAACATCTTGACCCAATTGGCCACTTTTTGCAATATAGCGAATCATTTAAAAGCCAAATCCAGTCCTTCTTTGGAAAAAAGTTGTGTAGCCCTTTCATTGTAAATCTTTAAGTGTTTGCGTGCGTCAGTAATGAGACACATTCTCTTTTTATAGAATGAAATGTGCCTAGCAACACAACAGCTTTCCAAGCATCTTCTTGCATATGAAAAACAGGTATGTACTGTACAGTCTTTTCCTGAGCAATTTCCACACTGGGAAGATGAAAAGTAGACATAGTTTAACCATCCACTAGTATTTTGCTTGATTATCTGCACAGATTACAAGGAGACTAACTTGTTCTGACATACTCTGGTGGCCAGAAGTGTGGCAGTTTCTAAGGCCTTGCTTTCTTCATTTGAAATGGCACATGGAATTGATTCTTAAAACTCAAACTGTGTCATTTGTGATCATTTCTCTATTCACAGTAGTGGTGAGGTACCTAAGATGTTTTCAGGGAGGGTAGAAAATGTTAGGATGATAACCAAAGCCACACAATAGAAGCTTTAAAATGGGTACAGCTTCAAACCTATCTATCTTGACTCCTTGCACCCCTTTTTAGATACCCTGGGAGATATATCTGGCTCTCTGATGTTGAGGAAGATTTTGCTGGCATTTCTATCAGTGGGTCATATTGGTAGGAAAGTTTAGAAATGTTAGAAAACCTATATGTAAGTGAATCTTGCAGAATCTTACAAGTGAATTTTGCAGAAATTTGCAAAAAGCTAGTCCAGTGTGATTATAATCTATGATTAGAGGTAGAGTTTCTATCACTTTGGATTATAAATAATGAGAGGCAGGCTCTTTTTTTTCTCCCTGGTTCATAATTACCCTTAATCTTGCTGAGTAAAATACTTGTTATTGGGCTAAACTTGAGCTGAGCCTTCTTAGACTTGTTCTCATTTCCTTCTCTGATTAAGTGCTGCCATTAATTCTTCTTAACTTGCAGAATTTTGCCTTGGGGAAAGGAGATGAAGAAATGATATCTACACTTCAGTCCTTCTCAAAAATTGTGGATGAGGTAATCCAAATTATAACTTGATTTTCTCTCTTTCACTCTCCTGATTAGGACATAAGGATGCTAGAAAAAAAAGAGCAGTTAATGCTTGGTGTGGATCAGAAATGACTGCAGCTAATATAATAAAAAGGAGACATTCTGCTTTTCTATGAAGAGTCTTATGAAAGCCTTTAACACTTTTTAGTTCAGGATGGTGACATTGAGTGCAATAGGTTTACTGTTATCACTGTTACTATTATTATTTACTATAAAATAATATAAAATACTCTGGAGGTTATTGCCATTTGAGAGTTTTTCTATTTGCACCCATTAGCATGAGAGAGGTGAGAATTAGTTCACAAAGATAGTGTTTATGAGGAAAACCTGAGCCTTAATAAATGTGTTAATCTGTAAAGTGCTTATTTTTTTGCAGTTTGCACTTAATATTCTCATCATTGCCCAAATGCAGTAAAACCATTTCTGAGTTCTTAAATTGTAAGGCAGGAATAAAACACTTGTACCCTTCTAATTACTGTTGAACTTCAAAATCCCAGGAGCCTAAATGTCATAATCTAATGAATTTTCCCACTCGTGTTCATAGACTTTTTGCCATCTCCTTGTCCTCAGATGGTCTAATATCATCCCTATACAATTTCTATTACAGTCCACAATTTTTCAGAGGCAGACAGGGAATTTTCGCGTTTTCTAGCAAGTTGATTTCTGCTATATCTTCCATTTTGGTTTGACCTCAAACAACTTCATTATTCCAAATTTGTTTTCTCTTAGAGATTTCACACCCTTTTTCCATATAGTTTCCATTGTTTAATTACACTCAACCAAAATCCACAATTCTGTGAGCCACTCATCACTAAAAGAATAGTAACTTTTGTAGAGCATTAGCTGTTGCAACTTGTCTTAAACAGTCTTGAGATTTGCATTTGGGGAGAAAAGGGAGAATTCTTTAATCTCTCCATCAGGTAGCTGACTTGGTTAAGCCTCAAAGAGTTGAGCCTGATTAGTATTTGGTTGGGAGACCACTAGGAAATCCAATCTAGTGTAAAATAGATTGAGAAAAAAAAACATTCTGGAAAAAAGAAGTCAGTGGCTTTTTTCATATTGTTAGCAAAAGAAAAACTATATGCATGTAACAAGGAAGATTTTACTGTTTTCCTGAGAGTTCCCTCACCAAGTTATAATATCCTGGAGAGAGAAAATTCATCTCTTTTAATAGCTCAGTTCTATGTAAGACTATGCATACAAATACAGAAAGCACTACGGACAAAATTTATCAACACTTCCAGAGAATTCAAGTACAAAATATTTTTGTTGAAGAGTCCATTATCCTGTCCATCTTTTTAACAGAATGCTTAACAGTGGTATCCTGGGGCTAAAATGTGGCAAGGTGTTTGTCAAATACATACTACTGGTGGATCTTCAAAGAAAGTTTCTGTGTTCTTCCCCAGATGCTCTCCCTTCCCACAGTGTAAACCATTTAGTGGCCCTTGTGTTTGTTAATGATGATGAATCCTACCTTAAGTCTCCTTCTTGTACTTACATATCAACCCACACATGAAAATCAATAACTGTTTAAAAATCTCCCTTGGATATTACAGTGTTCTGCTAGAAAAAGAAAAAAAAAGGAAGAAAAACATAAACAGCTATTTGTTTGGTTTGGATAAAAGAGCTACATGGGCAAAGCAATATGATGTGCGAATGAAACTGAAGTTTGCAGAATCAATATAAACATTCAAGTTAATTTTGCTTCAGAGCCTTTCAAGTAAACTCTTCAGTTATTGGATAACATGGAAACTTTCTTGCTCAACTGAAGCTATATAGTGAGATGTTATTTGTGAGTTGAATCTTTGCATTTCCTAAAGTAAAGGGAATAATCTTTGTGTTCAGCTTCATTCACTTTTAAGATATGATTAGTTTTGTCATTAAAGGCAATTCAGATAATACATGCAGACATTCCAGATTTTGAACTTGGACACCATGTGGGAAAACTGCAGAGTGGGAGATTCTCTTGATCAGCCTTTACAAACTGCTGCCTTCTGAGAGTGTTAAGTTGTACTTCCAATCATCCTTACACTGGCTGGAGAAAAGTTGCACTACAAAATTGAGAGCACCATCTGCATTTCCTCATGAGAATCAGATTTTCTCCTGTTTTATAAACACAAATAGTAAATCATCAAAATGATAACAAGGAACAAAATCAACACATCTTTAGAATGCAAACATTAATATGGGAATACGTATACAGGTAATCCTCAATTTACAACAGTTGCTAAGTGAATCACTGCAGTTATTAAGTGAATCATGTGTTTATTAAGTGAATCTGGCTTCCCCCATTGACTTTGCTTGTCAGAAGCTCTTTGGGAAGGTTACAAATGGTGATCACATGACCCCAGAACAATGCAGCTGTCATAAATACATGCCAGTTGCCAAGTGCCCAAATTTTGATCATGTGGCCATGGGTCGTAAGTGTGCTACAGTGGTTGTAAGTGTGAAAGCCAGTCATAAGTCACTTTTTCCAGTGCCATTGTAACTTAGAATGGTCAGTAAACGAATTCTTGTAAGTTAAGGACTATTTGTAAATATAAACTGAAGAAGAGATGTATGAAATCATTTACAAATTTGAAAGCTCACTCCAGAAACTTTTTGCTATAGATCAGCAGTTCTCAACCTGTGGGTCGCGACCCCATTTGGAGTCGAACGACCATTTTACGGGGGTCGCCAAACAAGGCGATCCGCCATTTTTCCCTCAGGGGGCGCGCCGCGCATGCGCGCCACGCATGGGGGTGCCCCGCGCATGGGCCGCCCCGTGCATGGGGGCGCCGCCGCGCATGTGTGCCGCGCATGGGGGTGCCGCCGCGCATGGGGGGCGTCCTTATGACCGGGGTCGCCGTATAAAAAGGTTGAGAACCACTGCTATAGATGAAGATAATCTGCTGGGATCTGCTTTATAAATATAACTTATTCTGTAAACCAAGCATGGATGAGTCCTTAAGGAAGGTTTTAAGACACTGGTTATTTTTTTCCCCTTCTCCCCCCTCCCTTCCCAATACTAATCATCAAAACAGATGCACTTTAAGTACTCTTTTATTGATCAAAAGATGTTCCGCAAAAAATACATCAGGCTGCTAACTTCTTATTGAGGCTGATTTATTTTTGAAGGTTCCTACAGTGAACAAGAGATAGGACTTGACAGCTAAAAAGGCATCTGTCTGTCAGTCATTTAGTCCCTGCAATTATAAAGGAGCTTAATAGTAATAAAGTTCAATATTTAACTATTCTATATTAGAAAGTTGATAATTCCATATTAAGAGATTCAGAAATTAGAAGACATACTGTATGCATATGAAATCAAGAGATTGCTGAGATGTGAACACATATAAAATGATTTTGAAGATAAATATTATTCTAATATATATAAATGTATCTTATATATATTAGGTGGGATTCCAATCTGCCTGTAGAAATAATGTTGGTTTTCTTCAATCCAGTGTCAATTTTTTCTTCCTTTCTCTAATTTCCTTTGCTTATATCAGCTTTATTATGCTTATTATCTAGAGATTAAATTGAGGCTGAGAGATATTTCCAGAGTTGTAGTACCAAGATAGTATCATTGCTTTCTTGTTTTTCAGCTTAATGTTTTACACACTGAACTGGCAAAACAGCTTGCAAACACAATGGTTCTTCCTATCATCCAGTTTCGTGAGAAAGATCTTACAGGTAAATAATTGAAATGTTTCTTCCTTGTTGGGAATTTCCACAGGCTGTCTTCTCAGAGGTAGTCCTCATTTAACATCCATTATTTCAGTGACCATAAGTTACAGTATGAAAGTGCTGAAGAAAGGGAATGGTGCTTGAAGCCCCAGATGGTCACATGAACAAAAATTGCTCCCGCCCTCATTTACAACCCCCTTTTGGCCCTCTGCCTGCGTGTTGTTGCCAGCTGCCCCTACTGACCAGCCCAGTGCACATACCACAAATACACTTTATTTGTGTCAGTCCAGTCAGGGTCTCTGTTGCAGTTGCATCCCATCGAGGGTCTGTGCTTACGTTCTGCTCAGGGCTTTCATTTGAGCCACCTCCGGGGCCTGTGTTCATTAAAGAAGGACCAGTCTGGGATGCAAAAGGAAGCCAGTGTACAAACCAAGGCCCTGGTCAACGTGCAAGAGAAAGTTGCAGTACCATAGAAGTCAGTGTAAAAGAAGACCCTGACTATTAGTGCAACGTGAAGTGAGTGTAGTGACTAGCAGGGCTGGGTGATGGGGCAGCTAGCAATAATGGGTAGATGGGTTGCCCAAAGGGCAGAGATGAGAGAGACATAAATGGATGGGGTGAGTTGAAGTAAAGACAGTCCCTAATCTTGAGAAATGCTGTTGTTGCTAAATGGAGGATTTATGTGCTATTTCATTTAACAATCCTGTCACCTAGCGACAGCGTTGCCAGCACCATATAGGGTAGTTAAGTGAGGACTATCTGTATATGGTGTCCCAGAGAGAATGTATGAATAGAAAATTAAAGGGAAGAAATAAGCTATTTTTTATTTAAGGGATCTCAAAAGATATAGGCAAGAATAATATATCGAATAATAATAATACTGAACACAGTCCAACTTACCAGAACATTCCCCTACATATTTATTTTAAAATAATATGGACAATCCTGGTGGGTGTGGTTACATTACAAAAATGGGGAAAAATGAAGGGAATGAGATCTTGTCTACAGCCTTCAGGCTTTTACCCATCCTAGTCATTTCTAGATAGGCTGCCAGATTCTCCTGCTGTATTGGCCAAAGGAGTTCTGGCCATTGGATTCAAAATAGAAATTGTGATAAAACAAAGATGCTACAAGGACAGCAGCTTTCCTTCCCAAGTTTTCTTGGGTTGATTAATAAAAACTATTTGGTGAGAACTGTATAGAGATTTGTAAGTAAAGCAAATGGAAGAGTTCTATTTCTGTCCAGGATTTAATCCACATATCTGAAAAAAATATGTAATACATATAGTTGGTTTATCTTCTCTACTTCTTCCCTAGAAGTAAGCACTTTGAAGGATCTCTTCAGTCTTGCAAGCAATGGTATGTCTCATATTTTACCTTTGGTTTAATAGAATTCCCTGGTGCATGTGCAGCTTCAGTTGTGAGGCTCACAATTGCCTTTTCTTTCAGAACATGACATCTCCATGGCCAGATACAGCAGGCTACCCAAAAAGAGAGAGAATGGAAAGGTATGCGTTTCCAGTTTTAGATTATTAGAAAAAACAAAAACAAATTCTAGGCATGTAGAAAAATGCAAGTGAGCAGAAACCTGACTTTGACGCATCTATATCATACAAATAAAAATGTGATGGAAAAGATTGCTTAAAATTTATGGTAGTGTTTGACTTATTTGGATGTGCCTTTCAAATGATGGGTGCAGTTCTCGGAATGAGTGTCCTGATTGTTAAAATATGCAGAATAATCCAAATGCTTTCAATAGACTTTGATGTGATGTTATCTGTTGTATGTTGCATTCTTCAGCCTCTGTTGAAAAAAAAAACTGTCTGCTGATACTTGTCTGGGTTTTACAAACATTTTATTGTTCAGCTAAAGGCTGAAGTTGTCAAAGAGGTCGCCAGTGCCCGAAGGAAACAGCATCTGTCATCATTACAATATTACTGTGCCTTGAATGCTTTACAGTATCGTAAAAGAATTGCCATGATGGAGCCTATGCTGGGGTATGCACGTTCACAGGTATGTAGCTGAAAGCAGCATAGTTTTGTAGCTAAGAAGGGAGCTGTGAATTATTTTATAGTACAGTGGAATATCTCATTTGCAAATGGTGTTTCTTATGTCTGAGCATGATATAGCTCCTAATATTTCAGCCACTTTATATTCAAAGCACCTGTGTTCCCTAATATTGTAAACCAAACCTCTGATCATTTTCTTGAGTGAACTACAAACATGTATAAATGATAGTCTACTGTTAAACAAATGTTTAATGTTTGTTAAATAAATCGTGTGCAGAAACTTCCATGAGTTTTAACTGAAGTGAGGAATATTGATGGTACAAGAGAGAATACTTGCAATGATTTCTTACACACACACAAACACAGAGAGGGGGGGAGGGGGGAGAGATGGATTCAAGGTCATAGAAAGTGAATTTCAAAGATTATTTTGCCTATAAACAGTGTTTCTCTTGGTGCCCGCCTGGCTTATTCTTTTTAATCCTTTTATTTAAATTTTTCAAAGCTTCTGGGATTATATTTGTCCAAAATACCCTTGAATTTCACATTGCTCCATTGATATTCAGAAGAGTAAAAGTAAGCTGTAAATTAAGAGTGAATCTCCTGCGTCTAGAAACTGTATAGGTTGTTTTGCACTAAATATACCCATGGTGACTATTTTATGAATAAGCAAGCCACCTTTTTCTCTAAGGATCCACAAAAAGCTCTCACCTCAAGGCTTCAGGATCCTTGGAGTGAGCTATTTGCTAATCCAAGTCTTCAGTAGTAGTATTCCAGCTTCCTTTTTATACTTTTCAGATTAATTTTCTGAAGAAAGGAGCAGAGATGTTTTCAAAAAAACTGGATGGCTTCTTAACATCGGTTACAAATATGGTGCAGAGGTAACATTATATTCCAGCTTACATTGCTTTGCAGTTTTGGGAAGGAGGAAAAACATTGCTTGTATTGTTCTTACCTACATGAGCAAGAAGGGAGAGGGAGAGAAAGGGAGATAGAATTGTCTGGATGTGAAAATACCTTCGAAGACCTGTTCAGGTGTGATTTATATTGAAATCCAACTGATAATTGCCCATGCTGGCTTGTGATAATAATACTTGTACTCCATATATCTGGAAGATGTTGGCATATAATTTATGCTGCCTAATCAGGGATCTTGAAAGTAATTGGGGTTTTTTTTCTCCCACGTTACACCTCTATATAGTTGCAACAAGTTAAAAGACGGGAAATGGCACTAAAATAGTTTACCTAGAGATAAGCTGCAACATAACGTATCACAAAAGTGATTTCTAAAAAGTGTTGTCTGCATTTTACAGGGTACCTGATTTGGAGCTATGATCAGCTTAAAATTTTTATCATATAGGATGTATATGAAATCATGCTGCCATTGTGATTCATAATTACTTGCAAATGCACATTTTTACATTGGTTTATAGCTCTTAAGTGATTATGAAAAACATATTTGTAAATAATCTTTAATGTCCAGCTGTATGAATTGCATACATAAAAGTTCATAAGAAGTAGCATGACAGTGAAATGCTTTAATTTTATTTATGTATTACAGCATCCAAGAAGAATCAGATGCTGAAGTTGAAGCAATGCGGGTATCTCAGCAAGATCTGCTTTCAGTTGGTGAATCAGTATATACGCCCGATTTTGATGCTTCTCCTGTCATCAACAAAAACCTTATCCAGAAAGCAGGCTACCTTAACCTTAGAAAGTAATGTGGAAGCTCAGTAATGTTTTATTTATCTTGGTCATTTCAGCTTTTGGGGGGGGATTATCAGTACTCTTACCTAATTCGGACCAATAAGTGTGCTAAACATAAATGAAACATCATTTTTTATATTTACTTTGAATCTTAAAGGGTGATAAGATCCTTCTTTTTTTAAAAAAAAAAACAATTTTTATTAGTTTTCCATTTTACACCAACAAGGCTTAAGAACCAACGTGGAAATAGGGTTATCAATTAAAAACAATAACATTATAAATATACAGCTCACACAATATTCATTGAAATTCCCCCCTCTCTCTATTTAGAATATTATAAGCAAATTAATACAAGTCTAAAAAGAAATTCATACATATAAATTCCAATAAAAAATTTTCAACAACTCATTATCAATCCTGTAAAATCCTATTTTATGTTTTATTAGTTTTTCAAATGTTTAAACTTAAACTAACACACTCTCTCTATTTAAAATATTATATTCAAATTAATACATTTCTAAAACAAATTCATTCATTAATATATCACTCCATATAGATTCCATTAATCAACAGCTCATTATCTATCCCATAAGATCCTGTTTTACGCTTTATTAATTTTTCAAACCTTTAAACTTAAACTAACACATTTATATACTATTCAGGTACCCCAAGTTTCTCTTATTTAAACATATTATTTCCATAACTAAATTCTTACATCTCTCAACTATATTCTATTTTTATTCAATAATTCTCCAATTATTAATTTCATCTCTTCCATTATTTCAATCTTTTTCTCATTATACCACCCCTATTATTAAAAACACATAAAAAATACTAAGAAAGAAAAAGAAAAAATAACACGAAGGAAAAAGAATATAAATAAACCAAGGAGACAAAATGAAGAAAGAAGAAAGGAAAAGAAAAAAGAGAGAAAAAAGAAAAAATATCTATCATTCCAAGAAACATATTCTTACTATATTTCAATATTAAATTCTAAATCTTTTTGTAATAAGCTCCCTTTTGACAAAATCCACATCCAAATCAGTCCAAGTCGCTATAAATCAGTGGTTCTCAACCTGTGGGTCGGGACCCCATTTGGAGTCGAATGACCATTTCACGGGGGTCACCAAACAACGCAGTCCGCCATTTTTTCCCCCCTTTTCCTTAGCTGTGCTACTCCCTTTTATTCTATTGGCTTTTGAAAGCCAATAGAATAGACTCTCTTGAATAGAGTCTAATTCTATTGGCTTTCAAAGCCAATAGGAATTGTCCAGGCTGTCTCTGCCCTGCTGAGCCCGCCAAAAGTCCCATTCTGCAAATGGTGCTGCACCAGTTGAGTAGTCCTCGACTTACGACCGGTTGAGTAGTCCTCGACTTACGCCCGGTTGGGGGTCGCGGCATTAAAAAGGTTGAGAACCACTGCTATAAATCCTTTACCACCCATCACTGTAATCTTAAATTCAATATTTATATCTTATTCTGGGTTTCTTTCTATTCCAAATGGGTTTTCATAATAGAGTCTCTAATTCCTCAAATAAATCTCCCATTATCTCTTGCCATAACATGTAGACCAAAAGTGAGTCTTCCATTATCCATTTTATTAAGCTGATATAGGAATTGTAGCTGTTCTCAATAACTCATAACTGAACGTCGTTTCCCATCTTTTTTAAAGTTACATAGAATTTAATTGGCATCATTTTCTTAGTAGGCTGTAGATAAGATGATGTATAGTCCTCTTTGATCAAGTATTGCTCTTCTTCTGTTAGTTTTTTCTCTGTCAAAAAGTCAAATGGTGTCTGTAAGTCATCTTGTCCTTCTCAAGGCAGTTGAACATACCCAACACACGTTCCCCCTATTTTCCCCACAACTTCGTGAGGTGAATTGGGCTGAGAGTGTGACTGGCCTTGAAATGGAATAATTTCTTCTACTTATTGTATCCATTTAAAATGACCCATTGGTAGAATTTCATTGGTTAATTCCAACCTATGGCTTGAAAATAGAGCAGCAGTATCATAGAAAGGAGTACGGTTTGTGTTTCCTCATACAGGTTATTGGATTACATTTCCTTTAGTCATAGCTAATTGTATTATGAGCATTATAGTCGGTATCTGGATGGTTATATGGCTAGTGTCTGACAACTAATTGGAAGTAAACATTTCTTCTAAACTCCTGCCAGTGCCAGAAAACTGTTGCTTCAGCAACGGTCTGAAGCATCTTTCCTTGTCATAAATGCTGTTAGTACAGCATTGTAAAGCTTTCACAGACTGTTTGGTGGTCTTAATTTTATTATTGGGAATGTTGCCACATGTTTTCTGAACCTGTAATCCAGATCCAGTGATAGGAGAAATTATTCAGGAAATACTGAACTTTGTCCAGTCAAAGTCAAATGGTGTCTGCAAGTCATCTTGTCCTTCTGAGGTAAAATCCTCCATCTCCTTATTGTAAATCATTTGCTCCTTAACATCAAAAGTCTTTTCCAATATAGGTTGATAGTCCAAATGGAAATTTGATTCATCCATCTCAGTGGGCTGAAGACAAGGTTGAAAAGAAACCTCTCGGATATAACCCCCCTCTGCTGTTTCTTGACTTTCAAAGTGCTTACTTACACCTTGTGCTTTATTTTGTCATTGAAGTGAAATCTCTTTTGTGTAAGCAACTATCATCTCAGTGTTTTCCAGGATTTTATCCAATATATACTTATAAGTGAAATTTAAACAAGTTTCTTCCGTTTCTATCATATTTAAAGCCATCGTTCTTTTGGGAGAAGAAATCAGTCAATATCCGCCCCACCCAGCTATACGGCTTCTTTATCTTTTTCCTTTATAATAATTTAAAAGCCAAAGTCAAACTCCAAAAGAAAAAAAAATAACAATTGCAATGAGTAATTTCACCAAAAGATCGAAATTTCTTGGGGCTCCCAAATATCCAAAAATAAAATCAACCAATAAAAAAAATAAAAATAAATTTTAGTTTCTTTTTATAAGCTTCTCTTCCCCCACTAAAAAACGCCGCTTTAACAAAGTAGGGAAATAATTAAAAAAAAAAGCTTATCACAGGAAAAAAAAGGAAGGTAGAGGTAAAAGAAAATCTCACCTAATCTTCCATGGTGGGTTTGTTTGCTTAGATGATCTTATGGCTTATGGTTGGCGCAGCTAAATGATTGGCCATTTTACTGACCGATCTTTACTCCGTCGGTCCAAAGGAGATACTCGGACTACAGAAGATCCCGCCGCTCCTCTGCAGTCATCCAAGAAGCCTCCTCAACGGTAGTCGCTCCTCCAGAGCAACTTTTCAACCCACTCAGGGGTCTACCGGCGGAGGAAACTTGGCCGGCGAAGAGACAACTCTCTTCGCTTGACCGCACCCCCGTGACCGGAAGCTCCAAGATGCTTCTTGTACTATGGAAAAATGCACTAATAATTAAAGTGCTAGGAATCCAGATATGCATATATGCATGTATGAGGGACTTTTTAAAGGTCCATACACAGTAGGCTTCAACAGGGAGAGGAGCTGGGAAAAACAGCAACTACTACTTTTTTTTCCTGTACAGAACATTTAGCCTCTGCTTATATAAGTTTATTAATATCTAGATATGCTTTAGACATTGCAAATATCAATTCCATTTGTGGGATGCATCTAATGGTGGCAAAAGTAACAGTCTCTACTTGTCCAGCCATATTTAGTAACTGTATAGGTAGGTTACTGATCTGGACATTTCAGACAATGAACCCTGACTCCCCAATGTAGCAGTGTTATAAAATCCAGCACCTGGAAGTAAATAAAACTAGGATATAGTGACATAGCCATAACAAAATATAGTCTTAAAAATCCATGTGCTGAAGACAATCAGATGGGCTTGTTGGAACGAATTTGGCAAATATGTTCCAGTACTGTTTTTTAAAATCTTTAAATGGTCTATTTTTTTGCAGCAAAACAGGCCTTGTGACAACCACATGGGACAGGCTGTATTTCTTCACTCAGGGTGGAAACTTGATGTGTCAGCCCAGGGGTGCAGTAGCTGGTGGATTGATTCAAGATTTGGACAACTGTTCTGTAATGGCAATTGATTGTGAAGACCGACGTTACTGCTTTCAGATCACGACTCCGACTGGAAAACCGTATGTGGGTCAGGATTTCTGCTGGGCATCTGCTAGAAGGAAAGCTTCGTCATTCTTGGCGAGGCTGCATTAACTGAGCTGCTTTGTATACTTTATTTCCTCCACTTAATCTAAATCAAGTTTTTCTGGTTTATATAGGAATTACTGCAAAAATAGTTTTGGCAATATACATAGCTTTCCAGTTTAAAGAAATCAAGGGTCAGAGACTATAGCAATTTTTTTCAGTTACTTCCCCATATTATGGAATAACTTCTTGTGAGTTTAGTGTCCCTCCCTGTTGAATGTAAGTCACCAGGAATAACATTTGGAACTTAGCAGTATAGAAATTTAAGAAGGTTACTGTTGTCAGATTCTAAGAAAGAACAATTCAGGCATTGTATAATAATTAGGGCCATTATCGTACTGTTTCAGCAAATGGGAGCCAATTTGGTTAAGGTGGTTAAGGCTCCAGCCTAGAAACTAGAGACTGAGTTCTAGACCCTCCTTAGGCACAAAGCTAGCTGGGTAGCTTTGGCCAGTCGTTCTCTCTCAGGCCTAGAACCAGAAGAGGTTTAGCAGGCAATGCTAAACCACTTCTGAAATCTTGCCAAGAAAACTCCAGGGATTTGTCCAGACAATTTACCAGGAGTCAGTACTGACTTGAAAGCACACAAGCATATTTCAGCAAATACAAATAACCTTGTATCTATATGTCAAGCACAAAATACGAAAATGGCTTTTTCTTTGCAATTGTTTCAAGGCCTAAACATTAGGTCTTTGGTCTAGAATGTTTAATCAAAAACATTTTGATTGTTTTGATTTCTAAGGCCACAACATTAATATTCTGCAAATTCAAACTTTTGGATCTCAAATTGTATTACTGTGTTGTATTTTTCATTCATGCAGTTTTGAGCATGAATGATATGTATGTGATAATCCAGGGAAATAATACTAATGGCTGTGTATTTTTTTTTTTTTTTAGAGGCATAACCCTCCAGGCAGAAAGCAAAAAGGAATATGAGGAGGTAAAACATTTCACTGTGAAGGGAAGATTTCAATTTGTTAGATAAAATCAGTTCTACCAATTAAGAATTCAAGAATATCCAGGTGCCTTATTTTAAATATTTGCTTTGTTGTTACAGTGGATAAGTGCAATCAACAACATTTCACGACAGATCTATCTGACTGACAACCCAGAAGTGAGCAGGTTTTAAATTTTTATTCAAATGTATTGCCTTATAAGATATGTTTACTTATGATTCTGTGTTTATGCAAGAACTTTAAACAGTATTACTCACGGATGCACCTCTGTTTTACTTCAGGCAGTTGCCATTAGGTTAAATCAGACAGCACTACAAGCTGTGACCCCAATCATGAGCTTTGAGAAGAAGCAAGCTAGTCACTCTTCCAGGTACTTTCATATTTGCCTTGGGATTTGTTCTTCCCCACTGAAAATAAAGCCTTCTTTTCCTTAGCATGCAATTTTAGTATAAGCAGAGAATTCTGTCCGGGGGGAATATTTAATCCTGCATTTCCTGTTCTACTTATGAAGTGAAGAACTGTTCCACAACACAATAGATGGGTCATATAGTATATTTATCAGTCACATGCCAACGAATGAGCATTTGCTTAAAAGAGACTCTCTGCTTCTTCAACTTATTCTTTCTCATTCATTCTCTGAAACTAGTAAAAGACATGAAAGATGATACTTTAGTTATTTTTAATGGATTTTTCCATTCATAATAATCCATCGTGCTTTTTGACTGCATATTTCAAATGTTCCCCTTCTCATCTCTTTTCCTTTAGCCAGGAGGGGAAGAACATGGATATTCTGAATGACCAGACAGTCCCTGAGGAGTCTGCTGATGCTCTCGTCCCCAACGAGTTAATTGCACCTGGAACTCCCATTCAGTTTGACATTGTGCTTCCTGCAACAGAGTTCCTAGATCAGCACAGGGGTGGAAGGTACAAACTGCCAACAATCTTTCTTTTGACAAGGAGCTCTATTTTTTCTTTTTTTACTTTTCTCTTAGTATTGGAAAATGGTCTTTTAGAAATGCTGTTTTGTTGCAGACGCACCAACCCTTTTGGAGAATCTGAAGATGGCGAGAAAGAGGATGAAGCAGGTAGATATGCCTAAGTACTGTTCATCACTCTTTGCTTTGGTTCCAAAGTCATCCAGATTAATGTCCCACTTTCAAAGGCAAAGCTATTTTGCCTGTGCTGTTAAGACTACCTGGTAGTCTGTTTATTGTCCTACTGCAGTGATGGCAAACCTTTTAGAAACTGAGTGCCCAAACTGAAACCCAAAACCCACTTATGTATCGTTGGGTGCTGAGTGGGCGTGGCCAATTGAGTGGGCATGGCTGTGGTGGTAATGGCAGACTGGGTGGGACTAAAAAGTTCAATCAATTCCAACTTTGCAAGATCTTTTTTTTCCTGCGAGAAGTTGAAATTGATTGATTGAGTGAACCTTTTTTTTTTCCCACATGGCGGTGGAGGCCTAAAGCAAAAAGGTTTTATAAAACCCAGCTGAAGGCCTAGGACTGGGGCAACGGCACGCGTGCCCACAGAGAGGGCTCTGAGTGCCGCCTCTGGCACCCGTGCCATAGGTTCGCCACCACTGTCCTGCTGTAAGCAAAAAGCTGTTAAATGTGGGATGAGCTGAATAATGATTTCCTTTGGCTTAAAAATGTATAAGCAAAACTCAGCAATGCTTCCGGTCTCTATAGGATGGAGACATGCAGTCTTTTCTAGGCTGATTTTAATTTTTGAAATTCTCTGGGCAGAATGAGGAAAGAGCCTAGTATCAATTAAGCATGTTGAGTGTGCCCGTGGTATACCACTCTCCACGCACATTTTTTAATTCAGTTTTTTCCCGTTTGATACATTAGCTTTATTTATAATAGTGGATGGAATGACTGAAGGCACTTTTCACAGTTACCATTCTCATTGCACGATTTCTCAGTTATTAGAAGAGTTTAGCTGGTGACTAGAAGAGTGCAAAAATTAACTTGTAGCCCACCCCTACCTTTCCTTACTGCTGCACTTTTTTCTGTGGTAGCTTGGAAAGGAAAGTCTAATTTCCATGAGGGTAAGCAGTAAACATTGGAGAAAGGATACCTTTAGTGCTAATATGGCTAAGAATCTGGGGGTGGAGATGAGAGGAGTTTCCTACCAGGAGGAAACTCTCAAGCTATACAAATATAATAAAGAAATGAATAAAGATAAGCTCCAGCATTTGTGCTCAAATTGCATTTGCATTGATTCCATATTTACAAACCATGATTGCAAGGGGCTGCTAATTATTTCATACTCCGAATGTGATAGTTTATAAAAATTGCATTTGCATTGATTCCATATTTACAAACCATAATTGCAAGGGGCTGCTAATTATTTCATACTCCGAATGTGATAGTTTATAACTAAGTATGTGAACTGCCCCACTGAAAGAATGTTTATGAATGCACTCTCTGCATAGGAAGAGACAACCTGGAGCTTATATACATGTGCAAGCTTTAAAGTTAATCTCAAAAGCGCTTTGTAAATGATCGGACCAGACTTCTGGTCAAAGCAGTCTCTTTCTCTCCCAGTGTCTTGCTGGGTGAAGAAAGGGTGAGTAAGGAAATTCAGGAGGAAATACAGATAGTCCTCTTTTAGCAATGGACTCATTTAGCATCCAAGATCACCGCAGATGGTGACTGCAGCCAAAAAATTAAAAGACGCTTGCTCCTGGGGAGGAAAGCTAAGCCAAATCTAGACAGCATACTAAAAAGCAGAGACATCTCCCTGCCAACAAAAGTGCGTATAGTCAAGGCCATGGTTTTCCCAGTTGCAATGTATGGCTGTTGAAAGTTGGACCATAAGAAAGGCTGAGCGCCAAAGAACTGAGGCCTTTGAACTATGGTGCTGGAGAAGACTCCTGTGAGTCCCTTGGACTGCAAGGCGATCAAACCAGTCAGTCCTAGAAATCAATCCTGATTGCACTTTAGAAAGCCAGATCCTGAAGTTGAAACTCAAATACTTTGGCCACCTAACGAGAAGGAAGGACTCACTGGAGAAGAGCCTAATGCTGGGAAAGATTGAGGGCAATAGAAGAAGAGGACAACAGAATGAGATGGCTGGATGGAGTCACTGAAGCAGTAGGCGTGAGCTTAAATGGACTCCAGAAGATGGTAGAGGACAGGAAGGCCTGGAGGAACGTTATCCATGGGGTCACGATGGGTTGGACACAACTTCGCAACTAACAACAACATAGTTACAATGGTGATGAAAAAGTAACTTTGCAACCAATCTCACATTTATGACTTTCTAGGTCTGTAAAGCAAAGGAAAGCTAAAATAAGATAAGTACAGTGGCAGTTTCTTAGTGGCCACTTCATTTAGAGACCAAGTTGCCGATCCTGATTGTGATTGCTAAACAAGGACCACCTGTAATAAGGAAGTGCTGCTCCTGCCTGCTTTGGTTCTTGCCCATATTTCATTGGTGTATAGTACCTGGTATATTACCCCAAAAAGAAAGCAGCCGTCCATGAGCAAAATGAATGTAGCCTTGATATTAGATGTTTTAGAGTATTTATCACTACTTGAGCATCTATGTCAACTGAGATTTGAAATATATTGCAGATGGGGAGACTTCTTTTTGAAGTAATAATTTTTGCAGGAATCTATTAAAGAAAATTGTACTTATGTTGAAAGGCAGTATAAACAGATTTCCTTCCATTTCTCTCCTCCCTACTCCTGCCCCACAACCCCCAGAGTCACTCCTGCAGCACATGTTTGTGGTTCGGTTTTTGGGCTCTATGGCTGTCAGATCTGACCACACAGTGGAGGTGATCTATGAAGCAATGCGACAGGTGTTGGCAGCTCGGGCCATTCATAACATTTTCCGTACAACTGAATCTCATCTCTTGGTCACCAGCAATGACCTGAAGTAAGCAAACTTTGCCTTCTCTAATCCATTCCCACTTAACTTTCCCTCTTTTAGTTTTATGCCCTCTCTGTGGTTTTAGTTGTAAAGTGATTATAGGAATGGAATCAACGGTCACAGAAAAAACATTAGGGAGAGGAGGCAGACTTTGTTATTTGATGCACATCTGCTCCAGTGTTGGTCCTTCAACAAAACTGTGGGAGGAGCTAAAAACCTAAGAAGAGCTTTGCTAGATCAAAGGCATGTCTAGTCAAATCATCTTGATACTTTTCATTACTCAACTAAATAGTCACAGTCTTGTGCATCCCAAGCTGTAAGTAGTGAAAAAAACTACTGATGATGAAGGCAATGCTAGCCTTCATGAATGGTAGTTATTGATCGCTCTTCTTCAGGGCCTGGAAAGGGGAGGGAGATGCCATGCCCCATCCCTTATTGGCAGGAATTTCAACTTCATCAAAAATTGTATTGTTTATAGAAGGTTTGCTCTGGATTCAGTCATGATGGAGTTTATTGCCTTTTAAACTTGAACATATTTTTCCATTAACAGATTGATAGATCCTCAAACACAAGTTACAAGATCAAATGTAAGCACATGCTTTCTTTTATCACTACAGAAAAATTGCAGTCCCTGAGAATTTAGGTAAATTTATATTATTTTCACTTTCTTTTTCAGTTTGAACTAGCCAATGTGACACAGTTTGCTGTTCACAAGGAAAACAAGAGGCTGTTTGGGTTTGTGGTTTGTGCCTCTGAATTGCCAGGTGAAGAGGGCATGAGTGCTTATGTGTTTGAGAGTAACACCGAAGGTGAAAAGGTATGGAAATAGCTTTGTTGTATAATTAGAATTCATACATGTAACTGCTTTCTTCAGTGAAATGCAATGTTATGAGCTAATGACCCAACTGTTTTGTAAAATGCAGTCAAATAAAAACAGCAATAGCAGCAAGTTCATTATAAGAGTATAGAATGTGTAACTAGGCAGCACCTCTTTTGCAATCCTCAGAATGGATTGGGTCAAACATTTTGAGAGATTTATTTCCAGTGTTGTTTTATTTTTTGTGGAGTTCCAATTCTTAAGCTTCCCAACTGCTTGTTACTCTTCAAATAATCATCCAAAATTGATCCTGATCTTGTCCACTTTCAAATTATAATTTTAAATTTAAATTTTGAATTAGATTCAAAATCTAATGCAGCCTTCAAACTAACATGTCCTCTTTAATACCAGTAGACCTTGACTTATGATCATTTAACGATGGCTTGAAGTTATATTGGTGCTGAAAAAAGTGACTTAGATCCCATCCTTGAAGTTTTAAAAGTTGCACCATCTCCTGTCTTGTGGTCATGATTTGGGCACATGGCAATTGGCTCACATTTACAATGGTTGTAGCATTCTATCATCACAATCATCCCCCACTGACTTTGCCTTTGACCTTCTCAGCCAGCTCCGGTAAGCAAAGTCAGTGGGGGATGCCAGATTCGCTTAATGATCACATCAATTCACTTAATGGCCATGGTAAAATGTTCGCAAAATTAGGTCTAGTTACACAATGACTCGCTTAACAATTGAAATTCTGGTCCAGTAGTAGTTGTAAGTCATGGAGTACCTGTAACATTGATATCATGGGCTTATTTCAGTTCAAGAAAGTTTATTTTATCCTTCCTTTATAATTTGAAAAAATAACTCAAGATAGCAGTTTATTTGTAGCCCGCTTTTATTTTATTTTTTACAAATAACTCAAGGCAGTTGAACATACCCAACACACGTTCCCCCTATTTTCCCCACAACTTCGTGAGGTGAATTGGGCTGAGAGTGTGACTGGCCTTGAAATGGAATAATTTCTTCTACTTATGGTATCCATTTAAAATGACCCATTGGTAGAATTTCATTTGTTAATTCCAACCTATGGCTTGGAAATAGAGCAGCAGTACCATAGAAAGGAGTATGATTTGTGTTTCCTTATACAGGTTGTTGGATTACAATTTCCTTTAGTCATAGCTAATTGTATTATGAGCATTATAGTCAGTATCTGGATGGTTATATGGCTAGTGCCTGACAACTAATTGGAAGTAAACATTTCTTCTAAACTCCTGCCAGTGCCAGAAAACTGTTGCTTCAGCAACGGTCTGAAGCATCTTTCCTTGTCATAAATGCTGTTAGTACAGCATTGTAAAGCTTTCACAGACTGTTTGGTGGTCTTAATTTTATTATTGGGAATGTTGCCACATGTTTTCTGAACCTGTAATCCAGATCCAGTGATAGGAGAAATTATTCAGGAAATACTGAGCTTTGTCCATTTATCTGCAGTTTTAAATAGGTAGTTTAATCAAGAAAAAAATGTAAGTGGTATTAAGGCAGCTTCTGTTTCTTCTGTAGATTTGCTATGCAATAAATCTGGGGAAAGAAATCATTGAGGCTCGAAAGGTAATATATTTAACCTCATACTCCTTATCCTCTGAATTAAATCTTGCTTTTGATTCTCTGGTATTTATTGTTATGACTACACAGAATTCAAACAAATCATCTTTACTTTAGAATTAAGAGGATATGATCTGGAGCTAATTCTATACAGTAAATTCTATAAACCTAAATAACAACTCTTGGTATTGAATTGAATGATTTCAATGTTTTGTATAGTGCCAGCATTGTGCATGTGATGTGCTTAGGGAGACCTTCAGCCAGTAACCAGGTATAGATAACTAGCATCTAATTTGCTTATAGATATGGAACAGGTTAAGTATCTACTTCCGCTGAACTTAAGCATATTGAGTTTTCAATAAATATTAGATGATAAATTAGGAAAAAATGAGCTTTATAATGAAGGATTATGAAGGTCAATACAAGGTCAAAGAAATAAGCTTTGACAAGTTCTTGGGTTGTCTATTTGCTCCTCCCCCCCCCCCCATTGTCTTGATATAACAGCAGCCTTCAGCATGATTTTTAGGACTGAGTTTGTTTCTTGGAAGAGTCAGTTTGATTTTGTGGTTAAGGCATCAGGCTAGAAACGGAAAGACCATGGGTTCTAATTTTACCTTAGGTACAAAGCCAACTGGGTGGCCTTGGGTAGTCACTTTCTCTCAGCTCTAGGAAGTATGCAATGGTAAATCATTCTAAAATTATGTCAAGAAAACTAAAGGCAGTTTAGTCAAGGCAGAAGTCAAAAACTGACTAAAATGTCTGTGTGTGTGGGGGGGGAGAGTTTCCTGGGCCATGTAGACCCCTTCAGAAATTATACATTAAACATGACTGGAATCCAGTATTTTGTTTGGAGCTTATAGTTTTACACACCCACCTGAGCATAAATCAAGTATTGCAGGATGTGTTCTTATCATTTTGTCTTCTAACAAGCAGGTGTTTATGTCACTAACTTTGGAAGCTGTTTTGTTGGAGTACCCAAAATAATCTTAAAACTCCCAAGTATGCAAAATTAGGCCACCCTTATTTGATTTCCATTTTTCTAGTCTAATTCAAGAAATATACACAGGAATTTTTGCACGCACATGAACAGTTAAGAACTGTTGTTTCTCCATCATCTAATAGAATCATGTTAAAAGAATTCCAATATAATGAAAATGATTCTAGATATTATTTCAGTTGGAATTAAAAATGTCAACTGAAAGCTGACTTCAGGAAAGTAAAAATATGAAGTCAGTTTACAATGTCTGTAAGATGATTAACAAAACATTTTCTAGCCATGTGAATTGTTAAGATATACAGTACCTTATAAGAACTTTAGAGAAAATGTCACTGCAGGCATAAATAGCAAAGGCTTTTAGTGGCTGGTCTGGTGTGGGAACACAACAGAAAGGAAACTGGCTCTTGATTTATAGGCTGCTTTTTGAAGACATTCATGAAACTAGATTTTATTTGCCTTGAATAATTTTCATTTGTCATTTTAATTATAGGATCCAAAAGCTCTAGCTCAATTAATATCATCCATGCCTCTGACTAATGATGGAAAATTCAAGTTACTGAATGACCAATCAGAAGAAGACAATGTTGTACATGGAGAAGGACAGGAGTCAGAAGCATAATTTGTAATTTCTCTCAGTGGAGAGATGATGGTGCCCATAAGAGAGAATGCCCTGTGCTCTCAGCTGTGGTCCAACATAGATGGGCTAGAAGAAACACCAAGAGATGAGAACTTGATCCAAATTTTTGGTATAGAAAACTGACAGTCTTTTTAAAATTCTTCCTCAGTACCAAACCATCTTGTTACTGATGGGAGGACCACAAAGTCATCACTGCTACCAGCAAAGAATTAATTCCTCATGAACATGCATTCACAAAATTTATAAATAAATACACACCTATTTCACATAATTCTAGCTATAGTAGAGAGGAAGGAATTGCACAGGGCACAAAGTTTCTGAAAATCTGGAATAAAATACAGAGGCACTTCACAGACAAACTAATATTTTGCATCTTAATTGAAATAAGTAGAAGAATTGAAGTGTTTGGAATATAATCTCAGTGATAAATACTTTATTTGCTCCTATTTGTATACCTTTTTGAAAAGTAATGGGAAAGCTATTTTAAACTAGGCGATTTAGAAAGATATTCAATAAGAGTTTCTACTAATATTTATTTTTATACTTTTATCTGAGTTAAGCTTTCAGAATTAAGTGCCTAATTTGTGATAATGTAAAACAAAAAACCCAAGTGAATAGAAAATAGATGGACCAGAAAGCAAGTTAGAGCTATTATGAATCTCAATCATTTATCAAGGCTGAAAAAAAGAGTGGGTGGTTATCACTGCTATTCAAATAAGACTGTTGGCTAACATTTTTGCACTGTTTTGTAAGACAAGATAACAACTTTCCTACTTTCGCATGAAAGTTTAGAAATTTGATAAGAAGATGGACTCCATTCCTCAGACAAAACAATTTCTTCAAACCTAGATATAAGCAGCACCAGAAGCACTTTCACACTACCCTGGGAAAAGCAGTTTCTTCAGAAAAAATCAAGCTGGGCACAGCAGTGCTTATACTATCTTCTTTAATTGACATTCTTCCTCGTGGAGCCAGCACAAATTTGGATATATCTGCTTTGGCAGCTTTAGGTTTACTCTTTTAAATTAAAAACACGCTGTAAATAAATTACAATGATAGCTGGATCTTATGAAAAATTTTATCTAACTTTAATCGTTTATATGATGTTTTAATGTTAAAACAAGGTCCACATCTCGTACCACAGCAGTTTCAGCAATAATGGCTAAAGTAAGAGCCTGAACAATAGATGAGAAAGCGGTTCAATTATGAAAATTATAGTACAGGACATGTTATGATTTAATAACATCTTAAGATTTTTAAACTAGAAGACTAGAAAAATGCCAGTAGAGATTCTGAAAGTGTATTATTGTACTGAAGTTTTCTGTATTAATGATATTCAAATTGTTCTAATTAGTACAATAAATATAAGTAGATCAAATCATTTAAGTGCAATAAGCTTATATTAGCTGAAGCTGTTCCCATGTTAATATTAACATCCAATCTAGTTGATACGAACTACATGCAGTGAAACAGAAATAGATCGTATTTTGGCTGCTCTAGAGATTGAAGCAGAAGGTGCCCTCTTAATTTGCCTAGTCATATTACTCTGTATTGTATAGATTCCATACAGAGGTATCTTAGTAGTGATCAAACTATAAATAAAGAACTATTAGAACGGACTGACAATGATTATATTCAAACAAGTATACTTCACTTTTTATCCATTAGAAAGAATGTGGGGCATATTTCTAAATGAATTTTATTTCAAAACTTACTATAGAATAAATTATATTTCAGTTAGCCATATGAAATTGATTAAATCAATTTTAGCATTCTGTTTTAGCTGTAGATTGAAGTATCTACATTGGTAAACCTGGTTCTCATTAAAGATACAGCAAAGAAGTCAAAACATCCCAGGCTTGTGACCATTATATACAAATCCATTTTTTTTCAAAGTTTCATTTATTAACATTATGTACAGAACATCTAACAAAAAAGTATTGAGGTAACAGGTTTTTTGTTTTGTTTCATTTTGTTTTTGTAAATGAATTAGAATAAGACATGTTATAGTTTTGTCTCTTTCATTCCTGAGAATGTGAACATAGATGGAATAGGTCAGAGTAACTCAATGACAACAGGATCTCCCTTCAGTAACTTTGGCAAAAGCTCAAACATACAAATGTACAAAATATTCATGGCATTGCTGAGTCAATCCCTATCACTCCTGGTAGGCCTTGTGATTTTATTTTGGAAGACCATGTAACAGCTAAGAGAACCTTTACTGGAAGTGACCTAGACATTTGTGTTCAATTACGTATTTCACAGAAAATAAAGATTCCTTACAAATAAAGATTAAGAATTTGAAAGAGAAAAATCTCTCTGTGGCATGCTTTTGTAAATAAAATACATGGAGAAGATGCCAAAGCTACTGTCTCCATGTTGGAAGACAGATTATTCACAAGATGAAACAGAAGAAGGCAAACAATAATTCCATGTCTTACTGAACCCACCACTGATCCTATACAATTACATTAAATAATTCCTAATTCCCATTTAATCTGCAACATATATAACAGCTGTGAAAGGCTTTTATTTACTGAAAGCCCAAGCACTATAACAACTCTTTCTGTGGCAGAAGGACACAATATTAGACTTCCAAGAACTCAGTTGAATTCAAAGCCCAAATTATTTTTGCACTAGGTTTTACAGTTTCATTTTTTGTAAGAGTAGCATCCTATATTCACAAAGCTCTATGTTTACATATTCATAATAACATTGCATATACTTTAGAATCTAGACAATTAAGGATGCTTTTTCCAGTATCTCACAAAGATGTTAGTTTAGTTAACACTGTACAATTATCCTTATATCTAAAATAGGAGTCTCTCAAATTAAATGCCAAAAAGGTATGAAAATGAGTATGTTTATTACAGCACATAGCTACCTTAAGTTTAGTATGCTTATACAGTCTCTGGGACATTACAAGTTGTCCATTTAAGTCAGCAGTCTAATTGGTAAAATCTATGAATTAGTCTTTTTTTTCAACGGGGATTATATGCACTGGGAAGCAAGCAGTAACAACCATATTAAGGATGTCATTTTATACATTTAGTATTATTGAATCCATTAGGTATAAGAATATTTTAAAACTTTCTAATTACAAATTTTCCCCCTTATCAATCACATCTTGGATCAAAGTAGCATATTTGACTGGAACTCCAAATACAGTCCTTAGTGAGTATTACAATAAATTATGTGATATTTCACAGCAGGTCTGGCTCACTATCAGACCGATGAGGTGGATGATCTATGCCAATCTGGTTCCATTCATTTCAACAAATCACAGTTGCTCTAGAGTTCTACAAAACATAAAGCAACAAATAAATCAAGCTACACACTCCGAGAAATGTTCATCTTTTCAACTGCCTCCCCAAATTATCCTTAATCCCCAGGAGCAGATTTAAGTGAATGAAGGAGAAAAGGAATCTATTAGTAGACAAGCACAACTGAAAATTTCTTTTTAAAGATTAAAGCTGTCTGTTTTTAAATTTTAATTTTTTAGTTTGTTCCTATTATTCATTTTTTTTGCAGTCAGATGGTAATCAGAACTTTTTTTTTAAAAAAAAAAAAAGCATTTTGGAAAAAAAATAGGTGAAATGGCACTTTGTAAGTAGAGCTCTGCACCCGTTGAAAATTATTCAGAAGAAACAATTCAGACCTCATTCAAAGACAGCACTTCTCAGCTACTCATTAAAGTAGGCATCTGTGTGAAAGGTGCAGTTTCAGGGATTTACCACAAAAAACACCTCTCTTAAAGTAACATGCTTTCCTTTCTTCTGAGGAAACCTGAAAAAAAATCAGCTTTAAAGAACAGCTAAAGAAGTGCTGGCTGATGCAAATTGCTTCTTCCAAATCATTTTTCAAAATATGCACAGCTCTCTTTTACACTATTTACACTATGCACAGCTCTCTTTTACACTATTTACACTATTTCACTGAGGTAATACCATTTACTTTTGCCATTGTGTTGAATAAGAACTCACCCTGAACCAGAATCAATAAGTAAGCATTATTTTCTCACCCATTACTTTTGGATAGGTAAGCCTATCCAAATTCAGTGCAATTTATTGTCCCCCCCTTTATAAAATAAATAATCAGAATTCACAGTTATATCAAGGAATTCAATTTCAATATGATGCTACAATTTAAACAAGGTTTGCCAGAAACATAGAAAAAGTACAATTAATTTTAGGGTAGGAATCCTCACCGTTTTGGAGGAACGTAAATAAATTATATTTCTGAATGCTTCAAAACTTAAACGTCTATGTTAATATAGCTTCTAAACTGGAAACACTACTAAGAAAAGCCATATAATCACATCCATAAATTAACCATACCAGAGCTCTCATTTTACAAGAGGATCTGCAGAAGTAGAATTTGAAAGGTCGTTGCTTGTTTTTGCAGGTTCTTCTATAATACAAAAAGAGCTTATTTTAACTATTTTATATTTTCAGCATTGAGTAAAAAAATAGATGCTTTTTACACATTCGTGCAATTAATTCTGAACTAATAATTTCCAATGGACAGATGTTTGTGAAGGGCTTTTATATGGGGTAGAATATCAGTAGAAATAAAAGAGTGAAATTTATCTAAATAGCAACAAACATCTTAGCTAATATGTAAATTACCTCAAAATGCAAAAATTTGCCACGCTCTAAAACTATTTTGTGAATAGACTATCCCACAATCTGAAATTCCTATATTTTATTTTCTGTTTATTATTCTCTCTTCTAAACATATATACTTTCCAAAAGAACATCATTCCATTTATCAGATGAAATGGACAGTGCCACGTAAGAACTTAGGCTATAATAAATGCATTATTTTTAAAGTATTACAGATCTTTGTTGTATTTAGCACTACAGGTAGTCCTCAACTTACAATCATTCATTTAGTGATGGTTCAAAGTTACAACAGCATTGAAAAAAGTGACTTATGACTGTTTTTCACACTTTACAACCATTGCAGCAGCCCTATGGTCACATGACCAAAATTTGGATGCTTGACAATTGGTTCATATTTATGACAGTTGCAGCATCCCAGGGTCATGGGATCACCTTTTGTGACCTTCTGATAAGTAAAGTCAAAGGGAAGCCAGATTCACTTAACAACCATGTTATTAATTTAGCAATTCCTGTGATTCACTTAACAACTGTGGCAAGAAAGGTTATAAAATGGGGCAAACTCACTTAACAACGATCTCACTTAGCAACAGAAATTTTGAACTAAATTGTGGTTGAAAATCAAGGATACCTATAATAGCCTACTATTTCATTATGTTTTCTAGAAATTGTTCAGTGAAAAACCACAATATTAATGTGAATTATTCCACTAGTCTGAATTACCTACTCATTCTCTAAATTGGTGATAATAAAATTCAGGCTCATAGAAATGGAAAGCTATTTTTTTTACTAGTATTTATTCCTCCATGGATTTGTAGCTTAGTGCACATAGGAATGGAAAACAATTTGCATTCAGTGCCAGAACTCCCCAGAGAGCAGAATATTTCCTACTAACCTTCACTGTCTCTTTTATCTTGGTTTTCTTCTGCTGCAGTTTTATCTGCTCTAAAAAAGATCCGTGCGCTGCTTAATGAGAAATAAAGTAGTTCAAATTCCTGTGAGAAATGAAAATAGATCTGCATGTTTTAACATGCCACAGAATCACAGAATCTCCAAGTTGCTTTAAGGTGCATGAATATATGAAACTCCCATAAATATTGTGCACAATTTATACCTGAATTATCAATAGCATATTATCAACACAATTTGGTGAAGAATATTATTCAAAGCAAAGAATTGAATATATTTTTCTTCATTTTACTGTTAATACCCTACTTATAATGTACTTATTCCTAGATTACCTGTGTTCCTTTGGACAGTTTCTTGTCCAAGATCAATTATTTATAATCCATTAATAAAGTTTGCTCCAGATGTCATTATCCCCCCCTCAAAAAAATCATTTCAGCAGCACTTTTAGATGGCCCTTCTGAGTAGTTAAAGGAAAATTTTTCAGCCTACAAGATTTTGCATTATTTTGGATGAGTCATAGGTAATAGTGCCATAAGCCTTAAATTAATTTAAGACACTCATTTCAACCCATTAAAAAAAAGAATCTGACTCAAATTATTTCCTTAAGATAGTTGAAGCTTCCAAGAGAGGAGAACTGTAGATGCCTCTGCAAAAGACCAAGTAAGTGGTGAGTAGGCCAGTCCCTTGGAACTTCTCCAGATAAGGACAAGATAGGAGATTACCCACAAATGCTCCAGATACGTGGAGAGATATGTAAAGAAACCACATGAGAGTGGATTTTTGTAGTTTTGAACACCAGGAGACAACAGTATTAGCCATCTTGCTCACAACTGTAGTGGAGACTTTTAAAGATCAGTAAGTTCACTTTCTAATAACTTTTGGTATTGATTAAACCAGGGCTGATTTAAATTAATTTTCCTAAGAGGGTCACTTAAGAATCTGGGACTATTGTGGAGGGCAACTGCCACTCCCCCCAACACCATCCTCCCGTTTCCAATGCCTCGCACCCTGGCACCACGGACTGGGCTTGGACATCCATGGACCGCATGTGGCCTACAGGCCATGAAATGCCCAGGTCAGGATTAAACATTAGCGATTCACCAAAACTGCCTTCCAGCAAAAACCTATGGGTGTTTTTTGAGTATTTTAAAAAATTATTGTATTATTAGTACTAAATTAATGAAATTTTTAGGAGATCCTATCTTTCAGTGTGCATATACCTATTTGATATTTAAAAGTCATTTGAGACTGTAATTTAATGATTTAAAATACCTGCAAACAAACTTCCAGTCGCTTATGAGTAAGATTCATGGTCTGTAGCAACTTCTCATCTTGACTAGCTGACTGGACATTCTGCTGCTTTGATAACGCTCTGATTTCTTTCACATATTTCTCCCGTACTGACTGGAACCAATGAAGGGAATCAAATTCTTGGTACTGGTCCAGGAGTTTCAAAATGTAAGCCACACCTGAAAGATATGGATATTCCCACCCCACTCCCAATTAAAAAATAATAACAGATTTTGCACGGTTTGTTTTAAATTGGCCTAAATTTATTCTTGATTTATTTTTATTTTGATCAAAGGCCAGCATAACACAAATAATTATAACTTGAAAAATAAAATTTAAAATATAAAACAAAATGATAACATTGTAATAAAAATTATTAGAATGCACTTATCCTGAAATACCGATAAAATTACATTTATAAAATACAGTTTATAATTAGAGTATTTAATTTACAATTTACAGATTACAGATTAAAAAAATACAGATT